CCATTTTCCACATTTAGTACACTGTTTGCCTTTAGCTGGGCAATTCCCCTGTTCGCCATGCACTTTGTATCCACAATATCCACATGTTTTGGGGCGTTTGGAGTCTGTGTCGCTCTGTTTTGGAGTTCTGTCTGTCTCCGTTCTGAAACATGCTCTCTGGGCACTGGAGGTGTGCTTTGATGTCTGCCTGACTGCGTGCACTGCTTGTTCACGTGATGCGCTCGTGCTGCCGCCTGAAATGGTTTTCATCTGAACCTGTGCTAGCTCGTGAGATCTGGCTATGTCGATAGCTTTGTCCAGCGTTAACTCTGATCCAACATTCAAAAGTTTCTCTCTCACTCGCGGTGATTGTATTCCAAATACAATACGGTCCCTGACCATCTCATCCTTGTTTGCATAATCACAGTCTTTCACAAGCAGACGCAGCTCAGTGACAAACTGTTCAAACGATTCGCTAGCGCCTTGTACTTTCTCATGGAATTTGTACCTAGCGAAAATTGTATTGGTCTTTGGCACAACATATGCTTCAAAACGATCGTAGTATGTTTTCAGTACCTTTGATTCAGCCTCGGTAAGTGTCCATGTGTTGTAAATGTCTCTCCCTTTTTCACCGATCCAGAGGAGCAGGTAGCTGCACTTTCCCTCTTCTCCTCTTTCCTTCAGAGGACCCGTGAACATCAGCTCCACATGCTGTTTGAACTTACGCCATGCATCGGGTAGATTTGTAGACCCCCAATCCATTCGAGGTGAAGGAACTCCAGCAAAATCCATCTTTTAGTCCTTTTACTCTGACACCATGTCTTGTTTTGTACGCTTTGTACAAAATAATAAAATGCAGGACGACAGGATATTTATAAACGTAGCTCTTTATTAACTAGCTATAACGTGCATGTCCATGTGTCTCTGGCCATGATCATCTTAGAATGACCTCACCACCTGGGTGGTCTTAACCAATCATTGCACAGTATGATGCATCCAATTACAATTCAGTATGGTGACACATATGAATATTACAATCAGTTCATCTGCTGATTGCTGAGGTGGACCAATCAGTGGAAACTCCTCCTGATTGCACCACCTGTTTCTGGTTTTCATTACCCAATCACATCACACACACCCTGGTTAAAAAACCCAGTCCGTTGTGTTTCTCACCAAAACGATTTGTTTTTTTTTTCGCTTTCTCACTCATTAGGCTACACAGACAGCAAACTTCTTGTCACAGACCTTTTTGATAGACAGACTACCTTCATACACCACATAGTCATAGCCCATACATCTCACTTTGTTCTGTTCCATGTGAGTATGTATTATTGTGGTGTCTTGTTTGCTATTGTCTAGTCACTCGTTTAGTCCCTATTTTACCTATGTTTGTTTGTTCCTGGGAAAAGGAAGAAAAGCAAGTCGCCCTTGGGCATACACTACCCGCAGGAAAACTTTGTCTAAAAACACTAGTTAGATTTGAGTGGACCACCCACTGTATTTTTGTATAGTTAGTAGAAAGCTAAGCGGTTCTTGAGGCAGGCAGGATCAGTTTAGGTTTTAAAAAAATGTTATTTCATTCCTTGGGTCCAGCTCAGCCCCTTTCCCCAAACCGTTTACCACGTGTTTAAAATAAACGTTTTGTGTTTGACGGTAGGTTTGGTTGTCTGTGTATTTTGTTCTGAATGTTCCTTTTCACTATTCTAATTCGCATGAGGGGTCTCTTTACCATCCACCCTAGACTTTTAAAGCCACGGGGTTCGTAACACAAGTGTAGACACAACCTTTTTTTTAATGAATAAGATCATATTCTCTTCCCAATGACAAACATAAGAATTAACTGGGCATGTAAATTCCTAATTCAGCCTACATAGACATTGCACATTACATACAAAACAGACACACAATCTCAGAGAGAGTAAAGTAGTATGGGTTGCACCTCCGTCACTCGGTCGCGTCATTGCCATTGGTATCAACGTTCCACAGACGCCTCAGCCACACTGATGTCCAGAAGTAGAACAGGCCAATGACTGAACAGGAGCTATAATGACTGTTTCGCCCAGTGATGTAGTTGTCACTAAACCCCGAGTCTGAATCGAGTCCGAGTCTGAGGCCCCAATGGTCGAGTCGAGACCCTGTGGCTGAAGTCTGAGTCCCAGTGCATGAGTCCTTGTCCAAGTGCTCAAGTCTGGGTCACTGGGTCCACAATAACTCCAAATAAAGTTAATATTTACCCAGTCTGATATAGCATAGTGGCAAGAGGAATTTTGTCAATAAATGGTTTGCTGTCTTTTTCCTTTCTTTCTGTGCCACCAAATGTTTGCATATGGTTCTCAATCCTGGTCCTGGGGACCCAAAGGGGTGCACATTTTGTTTTTTTGTCCTAGCACTACACAGCTGATTCAAACGAACTACTAATCATCAGGCTTTGATGATTTGAATAAGGTGTGTAGTGCTAAGGCAGAAACAAAAATGTGCACCACTTTGGGTCCCCAGGACCAGGATTGAGAACCACTGCTTTAGAGTGGTAGCCTCAGGGCTAGATTCAAGCCGTTTTCTCGGAGGAAAAGAGGGAGACTTACGTTACAGAACCTGTATATGAAATGCAGTGAGAAAAGTGGTAGGGTTGCGCAGGACTACAAATTCAAAGACAGCCTACTTTTCTATAGCCTACTCAAGGGAGTGAAAAGCAACTCTTCACTATATGCCCTCAGACATCATGGGGACTGCATGATGCATGCATCACGTAGCCTTGTCCCAGATCTATAAATCATCACATATTTCATGGTCAAATCAATACCAAAGGGAGAGCGTAGTTCTCCCACAGTGTGAACACTGTTACAGAGCCAATCTCTCTGTATCTTTCAGTATTTTTCTAACGAGGATGTGAATAATCAATGTTAATGGATATTTTGAACATTTGACTATGTACTTTTTTCATGTACATTTTTAAGCTAAATTGTGCATTCCCTGATACAAGTTATTCTACTTTGAATACATTGACTACAATATTTATTTTGACAAGTTTCTAGCATTGATAAGACTACACACTCCAATATCTTAAAGTCAATCATTATTGTTCCTGAATACACAGCTCACAAGTGACCAGATCTATTGTGTGTATGTATTTGTTTCATGTTCTGCACTTGAATGATTGAATACACGTCTGAAGCACAGCAGCACTATTCATTCTCTCCAAGATAATATCCATATGTGTTATCATCAATAAACATGTTTCCAATCAATACCTGTTTGTAGGGGTGGGACTGACTGTCTATAATGCAAAAACCCTGTTACCTGTTGGACTGTATGAATGTTAGCCTGGTCCCAGATCTGATCTCTATGTGCTTTAAACATCTCTCCTGACTATACATGATATGTAGTTGGTTCAAGCACAAACATATCTGAGACCAGGCTATGAATGTGTCACTCTCTCTATAGTAACCGTCAGAGGTGATTGAGCTTTGAGAGTATCTGTACATACATGTATTTGTATGAATAATATTGGTAGTGTCTATGCAAATAAAGAGACTAAAGAATAAAGTTTCCATCTTGTCTTTTATTGCTTCTCTCTTGGCTTGGCATTAAGACACATCGCTCTCCCTCTCCCTTGCTCTCTTTCTCCATCGGTAGGCTTCTCTCTCTCCCTCTCTCTCTCGCTCTCTTTCTCCATTGGTAGCCTTCTCTCTCTCCCTCCCTCTCTTTCTCCATCGGTAGGCTTCTCTCTCTCCCTCTCTCTCTCGCTCTCTTTCTCCATTGGTAGCCTTCTCTCTCTCCCTCCCTCTCTTTCTCCATCGGTAGGCTTCTCTCTCTCTCTCCCTTCCTCTCTATCTCTCCATCGGTAGGCTTCTCTCTCTCTCTCTCCCTCCCTCTCCCTCGCTCTCTTTCTCCATCGGTAGGCCTCTCTCTCTCTCCCTCCCTCCCTCTCGATCTCTCTCCATCGGTAGGCTTCTCTCTCTCTCACAAGTTGGAAATACTGATTACAATCCCCTCCCCAATATTAACACTGATTCACAGACTCATACAATACTCAGGACACTTAAGTTAGTTAGTTAGTTACACTGGAAGTGGTGGTGCTTAGTTTTTGTGTAGTTATTTTTGCAATTTACAGAGGGAAGTTTCTTAACAGTTTGACAGATGAGTGAGGATAGGAAATAGCGGTCAGGTGACAGGTTGAGCTCAGAGTCAAAGGCAGACACAGATAACATAGAGCACAGTACCTCTCACCTTTAGTCACATACACACGCACACGCACACCAACACACACGCACACGCACACCAACACATACACACGCACACCAACACATACACACGCACACCAACACACACACACGCACGCACACCAACACACACCAACACACATGCACGCACACGTGCACACACACGGTCAGATCTGCAGTAGACAGATAAGTGTTTACCAGCTTGAGATCAGTAATATTCATTCAGCACCATCAACAGGGTATGTTGGGTTACTACAGACTGGGTCAGCAGCACTGAACCGCCCCACAGAATCCATTAGATAGGGAGGAAAGGGACACACACACACACACACACACACACACACACACACACAGGAGAAAGGGAGAGACACAGTGGCGATAGAGAGATGGGATGGGGGGACAAGATATCGCAGCTGCGTTCGACATCACAACACAATCACAGGACGAGACAGAAAAGGACAGCACTGAGGCACAGAGCAGAAGACGGAGAGAGAGAGAGAGAAAGAGAGAGAGAGAGAGAAGGATGAGAGGTAAAGAGGTAGAGGAAAATAAAAGGAATGTTAGCCTGTATTGATTGTGTATTTGAGCTCTTGTCCCATCTTTTCTTTGGTCCATTGGTCCAGGGCTGTTCAGTGTGTACAGTGTGTGTGTTTGATCGGTTTCAGAGTGGCCTTCCTGTGCATTTATGGGTTTCTGTGTGTGTGTAAGTGTGTGTGATTAAGGTCATGAGTGTGTGTTTGGGACGGAGGGCTCTGAGTGGGAAAGGAGGGGGAGGGGGTGGATTCTGTGGGGCTCAGACGGTCAGATGACACTCTCAAACAGCAAGGTGTTCTTGGTATGGCCATTAGGGGGCAGCAGTTTGGCCTCAGACTCAGGAGCCAGGTACTCCATGTGGTGTCGACCCCACACCGGAGTGGTCAGGTGCTGCCAACGCTACGGAGGGGGAGACAGGGAGGGAGAGAGAGATAGATGGAGGGAGGGCGAGAGAGAGGAAGATAAGGGTAAATATCACTGAATGAAATGAGTCAAGCATGGAGAGAGGGTGATAGAGTGAAAGTCTACCAAGAGTCACAGACACATATTAACAGGGCAGGGTAGGAGCTAACGTGGGAAACAGTTTCAACTCAGCAGTCGGATTGATCGAGTTACACACATTCACCACCATGAGTCAGACAGTGACAGTCATATTCGTAGTAGCGTGTTACAGTTTAGTGAGCACAGTCAGGCACACACAGAGGCAACGCAGGCAGGGGGTACGTCACCAGGGAAACACAGTTCCTACTCAGACACAAAAACAGTATGCTCACACCTCAGCATGGAAGTGTGAGGCCAGTCTCACTCACACACACACACACACACACACACACACACAAACACACACACACACGCACAAACACGCACAAACAAACACACACACACACGTGCACAGACACGTACCTCTGTGAAGGATCCCTTGCAGCGCAGTAGTTTGTAGAGGACCGTGATGGGGATGCAGAGCATGGAGGAGAGAGCCAGACACCAGCCCAGCGCCTCGCCCCACCAGGGGTACGTATACACCGAGTTATAGGTCAGGGGCTTGTAGTTCACCACGTGGAACAGGAACACTCCCTATACACACACAACAGTTAACAACACAGTCAATTTAAAAAGATTTAATCCCAAAGCCATAATTACAAATAAGGGGTTGAACACACCCCAAAATTTCTTGGTATTCCAAAAATACCCCAAAATTATGTTTAAATCACTTTGGTTTTTAAGGGCCCCCTAGTTTCTTTGTTCTGGGGGGGTGTGTGTGTTTTTTTTAACATTTCCTTCCTCTGTGTGACACCCCACTGAGCTAACTCCCCAAAAAAAACAAGGGGTGGAGTAGGACCACCCACCCCCCTTCATTGGGCATGGGCCCCCGGTAGCCAAACCCCAATCCCCCAAAAAAGCCCAACACCCATCCAGGAAAAAAAATCCCTGAAAAACCCCTGGGGAGAGGAGAGAGGGGGAACAGAAAAGGGGCGGGAAGAGAGAAAAAGAGGGGGGAAGAAAAGATTAGGGAGGGGAGAAAAGGAGAAGGGGGAAAAGAGGGGAAGAGAGAGAAGGGGGGGGTTTAAAAAGGAAGGAGGGAGAAAGGGGAGAGAGAAAAGAGAGGAAAGGGTGAAAGGAGAGAAACATTGGGGGTTTGGGAGAGGGAAAAGAATAAAAGGATGAGAAGAAAAACGGTTAAAACCCCAAATTTTTCCCTTTAAAAATTTAACGAACAGCCCCCATAACTAAAAAAGGGGAATTTTGGGGGGGGGAAAAAAGGGAAAAGGGGGAAAAAAGGGGGAAAGAAAAAAAAAAAATTTAACCAAAAAAGAAAGAACCTTTTAAAATTTTCCCATTGTTTCCAAAAAATTTTTTTTTGCAGCCCTTTCCCCAAAAGTTTTTGTCCGGGGCCCCCCCATAACAAACAAACCTCGGGCAAAAAAAACCCCACTCCCCTTGCCTGCCCAGGACCCCCACAAAAACCCCCAGAAATTTTTGAGCCCACAAATTTTTCCCCCCTCCCAATTGTTTCTTTTGGAAAAAACCCTTTGGGGGGAGCCAAAAGGGAAAGGGGGAAGAAGAGGAACAAATTCCAAAAAGGGGAAAAAAAAGGGGAAGGGGAAAATTTTAAAACCCACAAAGAAAGGAGAGTCCCAGAGTAGTAAAGGGGAGAGGATAAATGAATTAAAAAAGAAAAAAACAAACCCCAAAGGGGGAAAAAAAGAAGGGCAAGGGGAGAGGGTTTGGAGATGGAAGGGAAAAGGGAAAAAAATTGGGGGAGAGGGGGGAAAGAGAAGTAGGGGGGGGAACAAGGGAAAAAGAGGAAAGGGGAGGGGGAGGAGACGGGGGCGGGGAGGAGAGAGAGAGGAGGGGGGAGAGAGAGGGGGGAAAAGAGAGGGGAAGAGGAAGAACGAAAAGTTAGGGGGGGCCCGGGGAGGGGAGAAAAAGGAGGAGAAAAGAAAGTAAGAGAGGATGAGTTTGAGATGAGCCTGAGGGGGAAAGGAAAGAGAGAGGGGGAGGGAGAGAGGGGGCCCAAGGAGGGGGAGGGGGAGAAAAGGAGGGGGGGGAAAAGGGGGAGAGAGGGGGAGAGAGACGGGGGGAGGGGAAAAGAACGGAGAGAGGAGCCCCGGAAGGGAGGGGTTGGGGAAGAAGAGAGAAAGGAGAGAGAAGGGGGGGAGACGAGAAAGACGAGAGGGGCAGAAGAGAGGAGAGAGAGGGGAGGGGAAAGAGAAGAGGGGTAGGGAGACGGAGGGAGAGAGAGAAAAAGGGGAAAAAGAGGGGGGGAAACCCCAAGAAAAGGGAAGGGGGGGGAAAGGGGGGGAGATCCCCCCAACAAATAGGGGGAGGGAGGGGGAGAGGGGGAAAGAGGGGGAAAGGAAAAGAGGAGGGGGAAGAAAGGGAAGGGGAAGAGCGGGGAAGGGGGAAAAGGGGAGAGATGAGGGGGAAAGGAAAGAAGGAGGGGGAGGGGGGAAAAGGGGGCCGGAGGGGAAAAGAGAGAGAAAAAGAAAAAGAGAGAGGGGGGAGGAAAAGAGAGAGAGGGAGAATACGGAGGGGAGAGAGAGAAGAGGGGGGGGGGCGGGAAAGAGGAGGAAGGGGGTTAAAGAGAGACCCGGGTGGGGTGGAAAGACAAAAAAATTTTTTGGGGGAAGATTTTATTTTTGGTTTTTGAAAACAGTGATCTAATAATAACTACAAAAATAACTCCCTTCTTCGTTTCTTTTAAACCCCCCCTTCCTTTTCCCCAAAAAAAATTTTCTTTTTTTCCATTCTTTTTTCCAAATTCCTTTTTCCCCCCCTTTTGCCCCTCTTCCCTTTGGGAAAAACCTGGAGGGGGGTCGATGAAAAAAAAAAAGTTTCGGGGGGGGTTTGATGCAGAATATCGCCCCCACAAAACCCCTGCGACGAGGAGGCCCCCCGGGTTTTTGGATTTGGGGGGTAGGTTTAGCATGTCCAGGGAACCCCTGTGACGAAACCCCCCTCCCCCCCCCCCAAACGAGAAAAAAAAGAAAGAAAAAAGTTTACTTGATATAATTTCTGCAAAAATTTACTTTGATTTTGGTTTTTATGCCCCCTCATAATTTTAAATTTTATCTGAAAAATTTTAAAGGGTTCGGGATATTTTAACAACATTTAAAATTTATAGCAGCGTGTTTGGGTCCTTGAAAGCCAGGGGAAGAAGAGAGAGAGAGAGATAGAAAAGGGGAAAGGAAAAGGATGGAGAGAGGGGAAAGGAGGGGAAAATTTTGAACAGAGAGGAGAGTGGACAATGCTTCGTGGGGAAAGGGACAGAGGCTCTTTGGGGACTGCCTCTTTTGCTTGGGAACAAGGCTGCGGGCCCCTGGGACTAACAAAGATGGCACTTAGTAATTACAATCCCCCAATTTCCCAAATGTCCCCACTAGTAAAGGGTTAAAGTGGCTATGGGTTGAACCCCACAATGTGTTCAAAAAACCCCCGGGGAATATAAACTGTCAGAATCCATCTGTGTTTTGGGAATGTGGAATTTGGCCCCTATCCTGGCTACCCAAGGCCCGGGTACAAGCGCAGGGAAGAAGAAAAAGGGGGCCCCAAAAAGGGGGCCGGGAAAAAAAGGTTTTTTTGGGGGGGGGGGGAGAGAGAGAGAGAAAGGGGGGGGGAGGGAAAAAAACCCGGGGGGGCCGGGGGCCCCCCCCCAAGGGGGGGGGAGGGGTTTAAAGGGGGGGGGGGGAAAGGGGGGAAAAAAAGGGGGGAAAAAGAAGGGGAGAGAGGGCCCCCGGGGGGGGAAAAGGGGGGGGGGAAAAAAAAAAAAAAAAGGGGGGGTTTCCCCCGGGGGGGGGGGAAAAGGGGGGAAAAGGGGGGGGGAAAAGGGGGGGCCCCCGGAAAGGGAAAAAAAGGGGGGGGGGGGAAGGGGGGGAAAAAAAAGGGGGGGGGGGGAAAAAAGGGGGGAAAAACCAAAAAAGGGGGGGAAAATTTTTTTGGGGGGGGAAAAAAAGGGGGAAAAGGGGGTTTTTTTGGGGGGGGGGAAAAAAAAAAAAGGGGGGGGAAAAAAAAAAGAAAAAAAAAAAAAAAAGGGGGAAAAAAAAAAAGGGGGGGGAAAAAAAAAAAAATTTTAAAAAAAAAAAAAACCCCCCGGGGTGGAAAAGGGGGGGGGAAAAAAAAGGGGGTTTTTTTTTCCCCCTTTGGGGTTTGGGGGGGGAAAGGGGGGGAGGGCCAAAAAAAAAAATTTTTTGGTTAAAAAAAAGAAAAAGGGGGGGGGGGAAAGGGCCCCCCCCCAAAAAAAAGGGGGAAAGGGGTTTTTTTTGGGGAAAAATTTGGGGGTTTTTTAAAAACCCCCCAAAAAATTTTTTGGGGGGGAAAAGGGGGGGAAAAAAAAAACCCCCCCGGGGCAAAAAAAAAAAAAAAAGAGGAAAAAAGGGGGGGGGAAAAAAAAAAAAATTTAAAAAAAAAAAAAGGGGGGAAAAAAAAGGTTTAAAAAAAAAAGGGGGGGAAAAAAAACCCCCCACCCCCCCCCCAAAAAAAAAAAATTTTTTAAAAAAAAAAAAACCCCCCCGGGGGGCCCCCCCAAAAAAAAAAAAAAAAAGGGAAAAAAGGAAAACGGAAAAAAAGGGGGGGGGAAAATTTTGGGAAAAAAAATTTTTGGGGGGGGGGGGGGGGAAAAGAGGGGAAAAAAGGGAAAAAAGGGAAAAAAAAGGGGGGAAAAGGGGGGGGGGGGGGGGGGGGCCCCAAAATTTTTTAAAAAAATTAAAAAAGGGAAAAAATTCCTTTAAAAAACCCCCCCCCAAAAAACCCCCCCCAAAACCCCAAAACCCCCCCAAAAAAAACCCCCCCCCCCCCAAAAAAAAAATTTAAAAAAAACGCCTTTTTTTTTGGGGGGGGAAAAAAAAAAAAAAAATTTTTAAAGGGGAAAAAAAAAAAATTTTTGGGGGGGGAAAAGGAAAATTTAAAAAAAAATTTTTTTTTTGGGGTTTTTTGGGGGGGGGGAAAAAAAAAGGAACCTTTGGTTTTTTGGGGGTTTTTTTTTTTAATTTTCGGTTTAGGATCTCGTACTACCCCCATGCTCTGCAGCCATGAAGCCCAGCACTGAGAACACCACAAACCCGGCAAAGAAACTAGTCCCACTGTTGATCATGGCTAGAACAAACGCATCTCTGCAGAGAGAGCGAGGAGAGAGAGAGAGAGAGAGAGAGAGAGAGAGAGAGAGAGAGAGAGAGGAGAGAGAGAGAGAGAGAGAGAGAGAGAGAGAGAGAGAGAGAGAGAGCGAGAGACAGAGACAGAGAGACTTTAATATTAAAGACTGCAAAAGCAGGAAGACATGGTATTGATATCAAGCAAACACACCGACAAAAAACACACACACACACACACACACACACACAAAACACACACACACACACACATACATACACAAACACATACACACAGACAGACAGACAAATGATTAAATAGGCAACGACATGAAGAGAAAGTGAAAGATGTAATAATAGTGAACGAGTAATAGTGAGAAGATGAGTGAGACTAGAAAAGAGAAGTATGGGATGAAAGCTGGAGGCTAAAATAGATTGAAGGACTTGAAGGGGAGAGAGCGAAAGAGAGAAATAGACAGGAGGATCAATAGGCTTTTCTCTGATAGCTGCTGTGTTGTCGGTGTAATTTGGATATCGACTCTAGAGCCACAAGAGCAAATGAGCTACTTTAAAAGACTAGGATAAAAAATATTATATTATACTATGGTCTAAACACTGTAGTATTCCTATATTTATACACTATAGTATTCACTGTAGTGTTTTTGCGGACTTTCCTGTAGTATTTACTGTAGTATACTGTAGTATTTACAGGTAACTATAGTATAAATACTGTAGTGAAAGAAAACTGTAGTATATACTATAGTAATTAATATAGTGTTTTTGCGGCTTGTAGTATACCGTAGTACTTACTGTAGTGTTTTTGCGGACTGTAATATACTGTAGTATTTACTGCAGTGTTTTTGCGGACTGTAATATACTGTAGTATTTACTGCAGTGTTTCTGCTGACATTACTGTAGTATTTTAGTTGTATTATCTTTGACATAGAAGTGGAGGCTTACCTTTTGAGGAAACCTATTGGAAAAATACTAAAATAGCAAATTGTCCATAACCTGTAGGTAGGACTGGGGTCTGAACAGATAGTTCAGAGCTTCTGCTCTTTTCTATAACCTGTATGGAACACAATATGGTCTATACTTGGCATGTCGGTTTCTCACTTACACTACCGGTCAAAAGTTTTAGAACACCTACTCATTCAAGGGTTTATCTTAATTTTTTAAAACTATTTTCTACATTGTAGATACATAGTGAAGACATCAAAACTATGAAATAACACATATGGAATCATGTAGTAACCAAAAAAGTGTTTAAAAAATCATAAATATATTTTAAATTTGAGATTCTTCAAATAGCTAACCTTTGCCTTGATGACAGCTTTACACAATCTTGGCATTCTCTCAACCAGCTTCATGAGGTAGTCACCTGGAATGCATTTCAATTAACAGGTGTGCTTTCTTAAAAAGTTAATTTGTGGAATTTCTTTCCTTCTTAATGCGTTTGAGCCAATCAGTTGTGTTGTGACAAGGAAGGGGGGGGGGGGGGGGTAGTATACAGAAGATAGCCCTATTTGGTAAAAGACCAAGTCCATATTATGGCAAGAACAGCTCAAATAAGCAAAGACAAACGACAGTGCATCATTACTTTAAGACATGAAGGTCAGTCAATCCGGAAAATTAAGAATTTTGAAAGTTTCTTCAAGTGCAGTCACAAAAACCATCAAGCGCTATGATGAAACTGGCTCTCATAAGGACCGCCACAGGAATGGCAGGCCAAATAAATGCTTCACAGAGTTCAAGTAACAGACACATCTCAACATCAACTGTTCAGAGGAGACTGTGTGAATCAGGCCTTCATGGTCGAATTGCTGCAAAGAAACCACTACTAAAGGACACCAATAATAAGAAGAGACTTGCTAGGGCCAAGAAACACAAGCAATGGACATCAGACCAGTGGAAATGTGTCCTTTGGTCTGGAGTCCAAATTGGAGATTTTTGGTTCCAACCGCCGTGTCTTTGTGAGACGCGGTGTGGGTGAACGGATGATCTCCGCATGTGTATTTCCCACCGTAAAGCATGGAGGAGGAGTTGTTATGGTGTGGGGGTGCTTTGCTGGTGACACTGTCTGTGATTTATTTAGAATTCAAGGCACACTTAACCAGCATGGCTACCACAGCATTCTGCAGCGATACGCCAACCCATCTGGTTTGGGCTTAGTGGGACTATCATTTATTTTTCAACAGGACAATGACACAACACACCTCCAGGCTGTGTAAGGGCTATTTTACCAAGAAGGAGAGTGATGGAGTGCTGCATCAGATGACCTGGCCTCCACAATCCCCCGACCTCAACCAAATTGAGATGGGTTGGGATGAGTCGTACCGCAGTGAAGGAAAAGCAGCCAACAAGTGCTCAGCATATGTGGGAACTCCTTCAAGACTGTTGGAAAAGCATTCCAGGTGAAGCTGGTTGAGAGAATTCCCAAGAGGTGCAAAGCTTTCATCAAGGCAAAGGGTGGCTATTAGAAGAATCTCAAATATAAAATATATTTTGATTTGTTTAACACTTTTTTGGTTACTACATGATTCCATATGTGTTATTTCATAGTTTAGATGTCTTCACTACTATTCTACAAGATAAAAAATAGTAAAAATAAAGAAAAACCCTTGAATGAGTACGTGTGTCCAAACTTTTGACCGGTAGTGTATGTGTGACACAAATTGGGATATGGGGGAGGGGAATGGGCAGGGTATATGCAAATGAATTACTGTAGTATTTACTATAGTTAAAAAAGTGTCGTGTTTTTGCAGACATTTTACTATAGTACTATTTACTATAGCAGGGATTCTTAAACCTCTTCAGCCTGGGACCCAAATTAGAAATTCTGTGTTTTCCAGGGACCCAAGCTTATGAAAACATGCAACTATAAGTAAATATGGGTATATTACATTGCCCTTAAGCCTAAAACAAATGCAATATAGACAAAAACTAATAACAATGAAATGAAATCTATTCATGTTTATTGTTACCCATTAAAAACACTCTTACATATCTGTATAGGTTGGGACTGTTGCTGTTAAAATACAAGAAATAATTTTCATTCTGAACAGGAATAAACTGATTGATCACATCACACAAATGTCTAACAGAACACACACACACACACACAGGCTCAGTTTTTGATAGTGCAACCCTGATAGTCCAACCATAAGTAACAGTACAGATGAAAAATGGTCAGGCCTACTGTACATATTACTGTAGAAATGATTGTTGAAAACAAGTCTAGGTTGGAACTGTGACTGTTAAAATACAATACATAATTTGTATTACGAACTGGAATAAACTGATCACATCACACAGATGTAGACCAGAAAACAAACACACACACACAATCCTAATGAGAGGTGTGTGGCTGGTTGAAGTTTTCAACAAGCAGGTCTATTCTGGGCTCCGTTTTTGACAGTGCAACCCTGAGGTCATCCACGGCCTTGAGTCTGTTCTGTACTTGTTTTTTAAGTATGCCAGAGTTGAGAACCCTGACTCGCATAGGTATCTGGTGCCAAACTGGATCAGAACATCTACTGCTTTCTCAGTCAGGAGACCGCTTCCTGCTGTACTAGTCCAGTAGATGAGAAACCCAGAACTGTGTGAGTGTGTTTGCCTCAAAAAGCATCTTGCTTCAATCAGTTTATTCCAGTTCAGAATAAAAATGATTACTTGTATTTTAACAGCAACAGTTCCAACCTAGACTTGTTTTCAACAATAATTTCTACAGTAATATGTACAGTAGGCCTGATCATTTTTAATCTGTACTGTTACTTAGGGTAGCTAGCTATTAGCTGTGTACAAGGGGATTGTTTGAAAGAGAAACACATCAACTACTATGAGCGATAGTACTCTCTTATTTCTGCTTACAGTGCCATCATCACCTGTTATAAAATGACAACAATGCCTTGCTAGCTGACTTACTCTTCCACTGTGGAAGCACTGTTTCCTGAAGCACTCTGCCCTGTTCTGAAAGAAGTCCCTAGGTTTACCGTCATGCTGTGGATGTTTGGTCACGACGTGTCGTTTTTAATTTGTTCGTTTTGAGAGACTCATTACTAAGCACTTCCCCGCACAAAACACATTGTGGGCGCTCCTCATTATTTCTCAAAGTTTGTATGAAATCAAGAGAGAGAAACTTATCGCTGTGTTTGCGTTTCATGACGATTGAGCTCCGTCAGAACGGGGTGGCTAGCTTGAGTCAATTCGATGATAGCGAGTGGGAATTACAAGTCAGTGGCTTTCAGCGCATCATCTGCTGCTGAACGACAGCGCTGCAGCGTGGGGGTCGCGGAGTGATCTTCAAGAAAACTGCCGATAAAAAATATATTCTAAACCACGAAGTACACGCACATCTCCCTCCAACTCACGCATCTGCCAAACTGAGCAGAGGCACCGCTGCTAAGCAGAGAGCGCACTGAACAGAGAGCGCAGTTGCACTTGGCCAAATCAAGTCCAGTAATTAATGAAATAATTATACATTTACTCTGACACGTCGCGACCCACTATTAACAGGTCCGTGACCCACTTTGGGTCGCGACCCATACTTTAAGAAAGGCTGTACTATAGTATTCTACAACATTCTATATTAAGAAATACACATCTAGTATAGTATTCTACAGTATACTACGGAATTCTATAGTAACTACTGTAGTATTCTATAGTAAACTGTAGTATATTTTTATGTGGGAAGAAACAGCCCTGTCCTATCCTCCCTGAGATGGATTAGCCTCCCTGTAGATAACACTGAGTAATCCTGCCAACTCTGTCCCACCAACAAGCCCCATTGTGCCCTTATTAAGAGCCAGCTATACCAGGAGTGTGTACACAACAACATGACCTGCATACTTGAGCTTTGTAGCATTGCTGTTGCTTTATGCAACAACAATCCAAACAGTCAGCATCAGGATGCATTTGGAATCATCATCCACATCGACGGGACCGCAGCGGAGAAGGTGGAAAGCTTCAAGTTCCTTGGTGTACACATCACTGACAAACTGAAATGGTCCACCCACGCAGACAGTGTGGTGAAGAAGGCGCAACAGAGCCTCTTCAACCTCAGGAGGCTGAAGAAATTTGGCTTGGCACCTAAAATCCAGGTCTGTGCCCAAACAGTTTGAGCTTCTACTTCTAAAAATCCACCTTTCCAGAAATAAGTCTCTCACTGTTGCCGCTTGCTACAGACCCCCCTCAGCCCCCAGCTGTGCCCTGGACACCATATGTGAATTGATTGCCCCCCATCTATCCTCAGAGTTCGTACTGCTTGGTGACCTAAACTGGGATATGCTTAACACCCCGGCTGTCCTACAATCTAAACTAGATGCCCTCAATCTCACACAAATTATCAAGGAACCTACCAGGTACAACCCTAAATCCGTAAACATGGGCACCCTCATAGATATCATCCTGACTAATTTACCCTCTAAATACACCTCCGCTGTCTTCAAACAGGATCTCAAGGATCACTGACTGATTGCCTGCGTCCGTAATGGGTCCGCGGTCAAACAACCACCCCTCATCACTGTCAAACGCTCCCTAAAACACTTTAGCGAGCAGGCCTTTCTAATTGACCTGGCCCGGGTATCTTGGATGGATATTGACCTCATTCTGTCAGTAGAGGATGCCTGGTTGTTCTTTAAAAGTGCTTTCCTCTCCATCTTAAATAAGCATGCCCCGTTCAAAAAATTCAGAACTAAGAACAGACTTGACTGCCCTTGACCAGCACAAAAACATCCTGTGGCGTACTGCATTAGCATCAAAACTTTTCAGGGAATTCAGGAACCAATATACACAATCAGTTAGGAAAGCAAAGGCTAGCTTTTTCAAACAGAAATGTGCATCCTGTAGCACTAACTCCAAAACGTTTTGGGACACTGTAAAGTCCATGGAGAATAAGAGCACCTCCTCCCAGCTGCCCACTGCACTGAGGCTAGGAAACACTGTCACCACCGATAAATCTACGATAATCGAGAATTTCAACAAGCATTTTGCTACGGCTGGCCATGCTTTCCACCTGGCTACCCCTACCCCGGCCACCAGCTCTGCACCCTCCGCTGCAACTTGCCCACCGCATTCTTATTGGCAGACTAAATAGCCTTGGTTTCTCAAATGACTGCCTCGCCTGGTTCACCAACTACTTCTCAGATAGAGTTCAATGTGTCAAATCGGAGGGCCTGTTGTCTGGACCTCTGGCAGTCTCTATGGGGGTGCCACAGGGTTCAATTCTCGGGCCGACTCTTTTCTCTGTGTATATCAATGATGTTGCTCTTGCTGCTGGTGACTCTCAGATCCACCTCTATGCAGACGACACCATTTTGTATACATCTGGCCCTTCATTGGACACTGTGTTAACAAACCTCCAAACGAGCTTCAATGCCATACAACACTCCTTCAGTAGCCTCCAACTGCTCTTAAACGCTAGTAAAACTAAATGCATGCTCTTCAATCGAACGCTGCTTGCACCCGCCCGCCCGACTAGAATCACTACTCTCTGCGGGTCTGACATAGAATATGTGGACAACTACAAATACCTAGGTGTCTGGTTAGACCGTAAACTCTCCTTCCAGACTCACATTAAGCATCTCCAATCCAAAGTTAAATCTAGAATCGGCTTCCTATTTCGCAACAAAGCCTCCTTCACTCATGCTGCCAAACATGCCCTCGTAAAACTGACTATCCTACCGATCCTTGACTTCGGTGATGTCATTTACAAAATAGCCTCCAACACTCTACTCAGCAAATTGGATGTAGTCTATCAGAGTGCCATCCGTTTTGTCACCAAAGCCCCATATACTACCCACCATTGTGACCTGTACGCTCTCGTTGGCTGGCCCTCACTACATATTTGTCGCCAAACCCACTGGCTCCAGGTCATCTATAAATCACTGCTAGGCAAATCCCAGCCTTATCTTAGCTCATTGGTCACCATTGCAACACCCACCCGTAGTATGCGCTCCAGCAGGTATATCTCACTGGTCATCCACAAAGCCAACACCTCCTTTGGCTGCCATTCCTTCCAGTTCTCTGCTGCCAATGACTGGAACGAACTGCAAAAATCTCTGAAGCTGGAGACTCTTATCTCCCTCACTAACTTTAAGCATCAGTTGTCAGAGCAGCTTACTGATCACTGCACCTGTACACAGCCCATCTGTAATTAGCCCACCCAACTACCTCATCCCCATATTGTTATTTATTTTGCTCATTTGCACCCCAGTATCTCTATTTGCACATCATCTTCTGCACATCTATCACTTCAGTGTTAATACTAAATTTTAATTATTTTGCACTATGGCCTATTTATTGCCTTACCTCCATAACTTACTACATTTGCACACACTGTATACAGATTTTCTATTGTGCTATTGACTGTACGTTTTGTTTATTCCATATGTAACTCTGTGTTGTTGTTGTTTTTATCGCACTGCTTTGCTTTATCTTGGCCAGGTCGCAGTTGTAAATGAGAACTTGTTCTCAACTGGCTTACCTGGTTAAATAAAGGTGAAATAAATAAAAAAATTGTAAAAAAACTCACAAACTTTTACAGATGCACAATTGAGAGCATCCTGTCGGGCTGTATCACCGCCTGGTACGACAACTGCACCGCCCGCAACCACAGGGCTCTCCAGAGGGTGGTGCGGTCTGCCGAATGCATTACCGGGGGAAAACTACCCGCCCTCCAGGACACCTACAGCACCCAATGTCACAGGAAAGCCAAAAAGATCATCAAGGACATCAACCACCCGAGCCACTGCCTGTTCACCCCGCTATCATCCAGAAGGCGAGGTCAGTACAGGTGCATCAAAGCTGGGACCAAGAGAATGAAAAACAGCTTCTATCTCAAGGCCATCAGACTGTTAAATAGCCTTCACTAGCTCATTAGAGGCTGTTGCTGCCTATTGAAATCACTGGCCACTTTAAGAAATGGAACACTAGTCACTTTAATAATGTTTACATATCTTGCATTACTCATCTCATATGTATATACTGTATTCTATAATATTCCACTGTATCTTAGTCCATGCCGCTCTGTCATTGCTGTCATCGCTTGTCCATATATGTTTATATTCTTAAATTCCATTCCTTACTTAGATTTATTTGTGTGTATTGGTTATATGTTGTGAAATTGTTAGATATTACTGCACTGTCGGAGCTAGAAGCAAAAGCATTTCGCAACTCCCGCAATAACATCTGCTAAACACGTGTATGTGACAAATACAATTTGATTTGATGATTTAGTTCATGGCTCCTGTATGTTGAGAGTAATTTGTGGACAAATAGCACAACATAGAGATAGATGGATGAAGTGTTAAGTGTTCATTCAAGACAACCATTGAGAAACACAAGTTAATGAGATCCTGTAAAGCTGTGAGGACAGGAGGTGAACGTGCTGATTGGTGGACAGGAGGTGAATGTGCTGATTGGTCTCTGATGATGAAGCATTGTTTCATCAGCTCAGTCATCAACTAGGCCTACAAACCAAACCAAAACTCAAACTCTCTCATACTCTCAGTTTACCCTCATTTACAGTTTATGGTTATCATCTAGCCTACATCAGAGGGCCATGACTAGCTGACATGAATACCTTCATAACTGAGACTGCATGTACATTTCTAACTAAGGTTTAAAAAAAGAGAATAGAAAATAGCCATTGAAAGGATACTAAATGGACATTCCATAAATTCCTGCTAAGGCCTAACGTTAGTATCGAGACTTGGCATCTATTAAAAGGCATCCCTATTATTGGCAACGTCCAGAAAACTGCCATTTTAGGAAGTTGGGTTTGTTTACATTTCTGAGTCAGTTTAGGCTAAACACATGCTAGAAGCATCTGAGCCAGTCAACCCAGACCTGCTGCAGCAGTGGGACTATTGAGGGAGCTGACTCACTCTGATTATTTAGATGTTATACTCAGACACTCTTGGGAGAACAATGGAAGTTCAAGATAATGCTTTTTTCTCTCTTACATTTTAGCCTACTAAAAATAAAGATGCATAACCAATAACTAATTATGCTTGCAGTTTTTTTGGGGGATCGAATTTGTGGTCATGTTTGGTAGCAGTGGTTGATGTGTTTTTTGGTCTAGCTGTGCTTTTTTGTCAAACTTACTGGTAGCAGTTGTTGTGGAAGCGGTTGTAGCTGCCCAGGGCGGTTAAAGCACCCAGACCAATAGCATAGGAGAAGAAGATCTGAGTGCCAGCATCGATCCACACCTAGGAAGACAACATTAATACTTATGTTAAAATAATCTTTGCATATCCCTGTGCAACACATACGCACATACCAACACATACTGTTTGTACTGTACACACCATACCTGGGCTTCCCAGAGTTTGGACCAGTCTGGTTTCAGGTAGTACACAATCCCATCCAGCGCTCCAGGTAAGGTTACACCATGGGCCAACAGAACCACCAGGACCAGGTAAGGGAATAGAGCTGTGAAGTACACTACCTACAGGGAAGGGAACAGAGCTGTGAAGTACACTACCTACAGGGAAGGGAACAGAGCTGTGAAGTACACTACCTACAGGGAAGGGAACAGAGCTGTGAAGTACACTACCTACAGGGAAGGAAACAGAGCTGTGAAGTACACTACCTACAGGGAAGGAAACAGAGCTGTGAAGTACACTACCTACAGGGAAGGAAACAGAGCTGTGAAGTACACTACCTACAGGGAAGGAAACAGAGCTGTGAAGTACACTACCTACAGGGAAGGAAACAGAGCTGTGAAGTACACTACCTACAGGGAAGGAAACAGAGCTGTGAAGTACACTACCTACAGGGAAGGAAACAGAGCTGTGAAGTACACTACCTACAGGGAAGGGAACAGAGCTGTGAAGTACACTACCTACAGGGAAGGGAACAGAGCTGTGAAGTACACTACCTACAGGGAAGGGAACAGAGCTGTGAAGTACACTACCTACAGGGAAGGGAACAGAGCTGTGAAGTACACTACCTACAGGGAAGGGAACAGAGCTGTGAAGTACACTACCTACAGGGAAGGGAACAGAGCTGTGAAGTACACTACCTACAGGGAAGGGAACACAGCTGTGAAGTACACTACCTACAGGGAAGGAAACAGAGCTGTGAAGTACACTACCTACAGGGAAGGAAACAGAGCTGTGAAGTACACTACCTACAGGGAAGGGAACACAGCATGAACACCAACATGCACACACAGTTAAATAATAACTCCTTGGTTTTACAGGGACACTGCAGCTGAGCAGTCACTCCTTCACAGCTCTGTTCTCTTCCCTGAAGCACATATGCAGATTTGGAACCAGGCTAGGGCTGTGAGGTTTTGCTGAGAAAGCGATTTCCCGGTATCCTTTGGTAATCTCGTGTTAGAGCCTCCTAACCGTATTTAATAAAGTTGAGTAAAAAATGAACATATTTGCCTTGATCTGCAGGGACCCCCCCTACCCGCCCCCCGGCCCTCAAATGCACACGGAGGGGAAAGTTACTAATCGGCTTAAGTGGCCGGCTCAATTACCCTCCTTGTTTTCACCCTGCTCTGTGACCTTTGGCTATTACTGTGGAACACATAAGCTAAGCACGTATGCATACCTACATAGACACAATTATATGTACAGATACATAAAACCACATAAACAAACATGCTTACATACAGTAGGCCTACCCACATGCACATTATGCCCACACACACAGCCTCTCCTACTAGATATTATTTGAGCTATGCCTGGGAAACAAAGCCGCTCCAAGTTGAGACTGTGGGTGTTTGTCAAAATGCATACTACCGTGCTCCGGGCATTTGGATTGAGTCCAAATCAAAGTAAGCGAAACGGAGCACGAAGGGGGTACTTCTCGATTGCATACTCCGTTTGTACATATTTTGAAGCATGCATCGATGCAAGCTTCATTGGAAAGTATTTACAGAAAGTATTTGCAAATGTATTGAAATCAATGGTGGCTATTATTATTTGAACTGAAGCAAGAGAAAATAAACTGACATCAGAATGAGATGTTGCCCATTCACATCTGATATGTTGCCTGACTACAATATTTTATTTTGATAAGTTAATAAATACATGCTGTGTTAATTTTGCCATGTTTACCTGCCTACAATACCCACTGTAGTGTACGTAGATCGCAAGCCAATAGTATGTCAATAGGGCTAACTGGCTAGCTACTACTGTTAGCTAGCCAGATAGCCACAAAGTATTATTAGCTAGCTAGCTACCCACGAAGAATTTACATCTTGTCCTGGCTGGAAGAAGGTTCAGTGAATGGGTAAGTCCATCATAGTAAGTCAATAGGGCTAACTGGCCAACTAGCTAGCCACGAATAATTGGTAGCTAGCTACCCTAGAAAAATTGATATCTACCTTGCATAACACTATTTGTAGGTCATTTTTGCCTGTTTAACTAGCTGGCTAGCTAGATTATTACGATTCACATATAGCTAGCTGATAATTATGAAGTAAAATGATTGCTTTGTGTATACAGCAGTGTTTCCTCTGTAAAAATGTGTAGCAGTGGGGGGAAAAGGTCGCGGAGTGGGGTTGAAGGGGGAGGGGGGGGGGAGGGGGGAGAGGTCCCTCCTATAATTCTTATGTAGAAGTACTGAGGAGCTCAGTTCTGGTGACTTTTTAAAAGGACATTCTACTCCAAAATGAATGAAAATAAGTATGCTGACACCATCTAAAATATAATGTCCACCTCCAGAAATTAGCCCAATAACACATTGGTAAAATTATTTGTTAAAATGTTTTTAACATAATGGGCCATGTACAGTATATAGCCTACGCATGGTCCATATTATCAGATATGCTATTAGCAATAAACATGATCACCTTTAGCTCAACTGATGCAGCAAAGTGTAAATAAATAGGCTGAAGCATGGGGTTGCCTATCTGCATTTACCCTATTGGGCTAATCATTACTAATTGCGGAGTGGTAACGTGCTTAACCATGCTTCTGCAAAAACCCTGGGTTTAAAATTGCGCAGTTTGCGCATATTTAGGAGTTGAGAAATAAATAAAGTAGGAATGGAAAGCTGGGATTCCCCTGTTTTTAACAAAAGCCATTAAAACTGCTGTTTTGTTGTGCATTGACTGCTTGTCAGAATGCATGTTTCCTTTCGTATGGCACATACAGTGCCTTGCAAAAGTATTCATCCCTCTTGGTGTTTTTCCTATTTTGTTGCATTACAACCTGTAATTTAAATGGATTTTTATTTGGATTTCATGTAATAGACATACAAAAAATAGTCCAAATTGGTGAAGTGGAATGAAAAAAGTAACTTGTTTCAAAAAATTATTAAACATAAAAAACTGAAAAGTGGTGCATGCATATGTATTCACCCCCTTTGCTATGAAGCCCCTAAATAAGATCTGGTGCAACCAATTACCTTCAGAAGTCACATAATTAGTTAAATAAAGTCCACCTGTGTGCAATCTAAGTGTCACATGATCTGTCACATGATCTCAGTATATATACACCTGTTCTGAAAGGCCCCAGAGTCTGCAGCACCACCATGCAAGCTGCACCATGAAGACCAAGGAGCTCTCCAAACAGGTCAGGGACAAAGTTGTGGAGAAGTACAGATCAGGGTTGGGTTATAAAAAAATATCCAAAACTTTGAACATCTCACGGAGCACCATTAAATCCATTATTAAAAAATGGAAAGAATATGGCACCACAACATACCTGCCAAGAGAGGGCCGCCCACCAAAACTCACGGACCAGGCAAGGAGGGCATTAATCAGAGAGGCAACAAAGAGACCAAAGATAACCATGAAGGAGCTGCAAAGCTCCACAGCGGAGATTGGAGTATCTGTCCATAGGACCACTTTAAGCCGTACACTACACAGTGGCCAGAAAAAAGCCATCGCTTAAAGAAAGAAATAAGCAAACAAGTTTGGTGTTCGCCAAAAGGCATGTGGGAGACTCCCCAAACACATGGAAGAAGGTACTCTGGTCAGATGAGACTAAAATTAAGCTTTTTGGCCATCAAGGAAAACGCTATGTCTGGCGCAAACCCAACAACTCTCATCACCCCGAGAACACCATCCACACAGTGAAGCATGGTGGTGGCAGCATCATGCTGTGGGGATGTTTTTCATCGGCAGGGACTGGGAAACTGGTCAGAATTGAAGGAATGATGGATGGCGCTAAATACAGGGAAATTCTTGAGGGAAACCTGTTTCAGTCTTCCAGAGATTTTAGACTGGGACGGAGGTTCACCTTCCAGCAGGACAATGACCCTACGCATACTGCTAAAGCAACACTCGAGTGGTTTAAGGGGAAACATTTAAATGTCTTGGAATGGCCTAGTCAAAGCCCAGACCTCAATCCAATTGAGAATATGTGGTATGACATAAAGATTGCTGTACACCAGCGGAACCCATCCAACTTGAAGGAGCTGGAGCAGTTTTGCCTTGAAGAATGGGCAAAAATCCCAGTGCCTAGATGTGCCAAGCTTATAGAGACATACCCCAAGAGACTTGCAGCTGTAATTGCTGCAAAAGGTGGCTATACAAAGTATTGACTTTGGGGGGGGGGTGAATAGTTATGCACGCTCAAGTTTTCTGTTTTTTTGTCTTGTTTTTTTCACCCCAAAAAATATTTTCCATCTTCAAAGTGGTAGGCATGTTGTGTAAATCAAATGATACAAACCCCACAAAAATCAATTTTAATTCCAGGTTGTAAGGCAACAAAATAGGAAAAATGCCAAGGGGGGGTGAATACTTTCGCAAGCCACTGTATAATATAATATAATAATATGCCATTTAGCAGACGCTTTTATCCAAAGCGACTTACAGTCATGCGTGCATACATTTTTTGTGTATGGGTGGTCCCGGGGATCGAACCCACTACCTTGGTGTTACAAGCGCCGTGCTCTACCAGCTGAGCTACAGAGGACCACATGTATAACATGAATGCGCCACAAGAGGAATATTTATCTAGCATAGAACACAACAACAAGCCGACTAGGTAAATAAACTATTCTACTATGGGGTTGTTAGATTTTTCTATTAATTACTTGTTTTGTTTGCAGAGGAAAAGTACACGTGGAATGTTCTAGCATCTTCAAAATGCGCCTCAGCAGAAATATTTGTTCATGTTCTATATATTTTTTGTTGCGTGGCGGCAATGATTCTGCCGTGGCACAGCCCCACAGCAAAATGAATGCAGCGGAAACACTGGTATACAATGCATTCGGAAAGTATTCAGACCCCTTGACTTTTCCCACATTTTGTTACGTTACAGCCTTATTCTAAAATGGATTAAATAAACAAACAGTTTCCTCATCAATATACACACAATACCCCATAATGACAAAGCGAAAACAGATTATATTTTTTGTGTGCAAAAATAAAAAACAGAAATACCTTATTTACATAAGTATTCAGGCCCTTTGCTATGAGACTTGAAATTGAGCTCAGGTGCATTTATCATCCTTGAAATGTTTCTACAACTTGATTGGAGTCCACCTGTGATATATTCAGTTGATTGGACATGATTTGGAAAGGCACACACCAGTCTATATAAGGTCCCACAGTTGACAGTGCATGTCAGAGCAAAACCAAGCCATGAGGTCGAAGGAATTGTCCATACAGCTCTTCTGGGAAAGTGTACCAAAACATTTCTGCAGCATTGAAGGTCCCCAAGAACACAGTGGTCTCAATCATTATTGAATGGAAGAAGTTTGGAACCACCAAGACTCCTCCTAGAGCTGGCCGCCCGGCCAAACTGAGCAATCGGGGGGAGAAGGATCTTGGTCAGGGAGGTGACCAAGAACCCGATGGTCACTCTGACAGAGCTCCAGAGTTCCTCTGTGGAAATGGGAGAACCTTCCAGAAGGACAATCATCTCTGCAGCACTCCACCAATCAGGCGTTTATGGTAGAGGGGCCAGACGGAAGCCACTCCTCAGTAAAAGGCACATGACAGCCCGCTTGGAGTTTGCCAAAAGGCACGTAAAGGACTCTCAGACCATGAGAAACAAGATTCTCTGGTCTGATGAAACCAAGATTGAACTCTTTGGCCTGAATGCCAAGCGTTACGTCTGGAGGAAACTTGCCACCACCCTTACGGTGAAGCATGGTGGTGGCAGCATCATGCTCCATAGCGCTCAGGACCTCAGACTGGGGAAAAGGTTCACCTGCCGACAGGACAACAACCCTAAGCACACAGCCAAGATAATGCAGGAGTGGCTTCGGGACAAGTCTCTGAATGTCACTGAGTGGCCCAGCCAGAGCCCGGACTTGAACCCAATCTAACATCTCTGGAGAGACCTGAAAATAGCTGTGCAGCGACGCTCCCCATACAACCTGACAGAGCTGGAGAGGATCTGCAGAGAAGAATGGGAGAAACTCCCCAAATACAGGTGTGCCAAGCTTGTAGCATCATACCCAAGAAGACTTGAGGCTGTAATCGCTGCCAAAGGTGCTTCAACAAAGTACTGAGTAAAGGGTCTGAATACTTATGTAAATGTGATATTTCAGGGTTGTTGTTTTTTATAAATTTGCAAAAAATTCTAAAAACCTGTTTTTGCTTTGTCATTATGGGGTACTGTGTGTAGATTGATGAGGACATTATTATTATTTTAATCCATTTTGGAATAAGGCTGTAACGTAACAACATTTGGAAAAAGTCAAGGGGTCTGAATACTTTCCGAATGCACTGTATCTGGTTTTGTCGCTCTTGTTGCCATTAACCTCGCTGGAAGAAGGTTCTGTGAATGGGGAGGTGCAGCGGGAGGTAATACAGTAGGGGGAATGCGAGTGATTCTGAAATGTAATGTTTTATGCATTCTCCACACTCTCGTCCTCACAAGAACGTACTCAAGAGAACGAGTGTTTTTCCAGTCACACATACAGTGAGGGAAAAAAGTATTTGATCCCCTGCTGATTTTGTACGTTTGCCCACTGACAAATACATGATCAGTCTATAATTTTAATGGTAGGTTTATTTGAACAGTGAGAGACAGAATAACAACAAAAAAATCCAGAAAAACACATGTCAAAAATTTTATAAATTGATTTGCATTTTAATGAGGGAAATAAGTATTTGACCCCTCTGCAAAACATTACTTAGTACTTGGTAGCAAAACCCTTGTTGGTCAGACGTTTCTTGTAATTGGCCACCAGGTTTGCACACATCTCAGGAGGGATTTTGGCCCACTCCTCTTTTGCAGATCTTCTCCAAGTCATTAAGGTTTCGAGGCTGACGTTTGGCAACTTGAACCTTCAGCTCCCTCCACAGATTTTCTATGGGATTAATGTCTGGAGACTGGCTAGGCCACTCCAGGACCTTAATGTGCTTCTTCTTGAGCCACACCTTTGTTGCCTTGGCCGTGTGTTTTGGGTCATAGTCATGCTGGAATACCCATCCACGACCCATTTTCAATGCCCTGGCTGAGGGAAGGAGGTTCTCACCCAAGATTTGACGGTACATGGCCTCGTCCATCGTCCTTTTGATGCGGTGAAATTGTCCTGTCCCCTTAGCAGAAAAACACCCCCAAAGCATAATGTTTCCACCTCCATGTTTGACGGTGGGGATGGTGTTCTTGGGGTCATAGGCAGCATTCCTCCTCCTCCAAACACGGCGAGTTGAGTTGATGCCAAAGAGCTCCATTTTGGTCTCATCTGACCACAACACTTTCACCCAGTTCTCCTCTGAATCATTCAGATGTTCATTGGCAAACTTCAGACGGGCCTGTATATGTGCTTTCTTGAGCAGGGGGACCTTGCGGGCGCTGCAGGATTTCAGTCCTTCACGGCGTAGTGTGTTACCAATTGTTTTCTTGGTGACCATGGTCCCAGCTGCCTTGAGATCATTGACAAGATCCTCCTGTGTAGTTCTGGGCTGATTCCTCACCATTCTCATGATCATTGCAATTCCACGAGGTGAGATCTTGCATGGAGCCCCAGGCCGAGGGAGATTGACAGGTCTTTAGTGTTTCTTCCATTTGCGAATAATCGCACCAACTGCTGTCACCTTCTCACCAAGCTGCTTGGCGATGGTCTTGTAGCCCATTCCAGCCTTGTGTAGGTCTACAATCTTGTCCATGACATCCTTGGAGAGCTCTTTGGTCTTGGCCATGGTGGAGAGTTTGGAATCTGATTGATTGATTGCTTCTGTGGACAGGTGTCTTTTGTACAGGTAACAAACTGAGATTAGGAGCACTCCCTTTAAGAGTGTGCTCCTAATCTCAGCTTGTTACCTGTATAAAAGACACCTGGGAGCCAGAAATCTTTCTGATTGAGAGGGGGTCAAATACTTATTTCCCTCATTAAAATGCAAATAAATGTATAACATTTTTGACATGCGTTTTTCAGGATTTGTTTGTTGTTATTCTGTCTCTCACTGTTCAAATAAACCTACCATTAAAATTTTAGACTGATAATGTCTTTGTCAGTGGGCAAACGTACAAAATCAGCAGGGGATCAAATACTTTTTTCCCTCACTGTATTAGTTGATTTTACATGTGTGCTTATAAGTGTGTCTGATTATATTTGTCAGTCTAGACATTATGATCTGTACTAAAGCTGCTTTGGGGTCAGAGGGCAAAGTGGAGAATGGACAAAGCTCTAAAGCTACACTCACAAGAACACAGAGATTCCATTCTTGTTAATGTAGCTACATGTTTTGTTTTTATACTGTTTGGACCAAAAATACTTTTCTATGCTGAAAAAACCCTGTATCTTACCTTAACTTAAGCTAAGCAAAGCACGAGACATATCCTTACACCCACACACACACACACACGTTCACTGACCTTGCCTGTGCCTTTGACTCCCTTCCAGATGCAGAAGTAAACAATAACCCAGGTGGCGATCAGACAGAGGACCATGTGAGAGCTGATGTCACCAGGCTCATCCAGACCACCAGAGAGACGCAGCACCTTACGCCTGACACACACAGAGAGAGAGAAAGAGAGAGAGAGAGAGAGAGGGAGAGAGAGAGAAAGGTCAGATGAAAAGAATGGACAGATAGACAACCAATAACCTATGGTTAGGTAGTCAGCCCTATGACCAACCCAACACAACAGACCACAGATCACTTACTCCCAGAACTCAATGACTGGCGAGCGCATGCCCTCTGGTTCCACGCAGCTGCCGTTGAAGAGGAGCAGAGTAGAGGATGAGAGGTTGAGTGGGGAGGATACCATGGACGAGAGGAGGGAGGTGGGGTTAGAGGGATCGGGGGTGGAGGAGAGGAGAGGCAGGGCGCTGCGGTTGTGGCAAGCCCGGCGGAAGTTTTCGGTGCAGTTGAGGGTGTTCCAGGGGTGTCCGCAGGTAGCCCAGGGTAACGGGTTGGTGAAGGAGTGAAGCAGGAAGTACAGGCCCCACACCAGGATCATAATGTAGTAGGTGTTACAGAAGAACACTATCACCATGGAGGCCAGGCCAAGACCTGGGGAGAGAGAGAGAGAGAGGGGGGAATGAGAATGAGTGGAGGATGGGGGGATGTACAGTGGATAACATAAGGACAAACATTTAGAGGAAGGATATGTGAGTCAGAAAAATTGAGGGGTTGGAGAACAAAAAAAGAAAAAACCTCATTCAGAAAAATGAATTGCATCTCCATTAAACAACATCTATGAAGATCAAGTTCCAAAATTCAAATACTGTGTGCCAGCACTAATAAGGTAAGGGTACCGCTTTGTGGCACCTATACTGCCTAGGGGAAAAGCTGTCAGGAAAATAGTTCTCTTCACAAGATTTAAATAATGAAATAATGAAATTGATTTGAAATTGATTTTAATTAAACCTTTACTTTACCAGGCAGGTCAATGAAGAACAGATGCTTATTTACAATAACCAAAGGCTTTTGTGAATATAAACACAGTGGCCAGTTTATTAGGTACACCCATCTAGCATTGGGTCAGACCCCCCTTTGCCTCCAGAACAGCCTGAATTATTCAGGGCATGGAAACGTTGCTCAATTGGTATCAAGGAACCTAACGTGTGCCAGGAAAACATTCCCCACACCATTACACCACCGTCACCAGCATGTACCGTTGACACCAGGCAGGATGGGGCCATGGACTCATGCTGCTTATGCCAAATCCTGACTCTGCCATCAGCATGACGCAACAGGACCCGGGATTCGTTGGACCAGGCAATGTTTTTCCACGCCTCAATTTTCCAGTGTTGGTGATCGCGTGCCCACTGGAGCCGCTTCTTCTTGTTTTTAGTTGATAGGAGTGAAATCTGGTGTGGTCGTCTGCTGCAATAGCCCATCCGTGACAAGGACTGACAAGTTGTGCGTTCCAAGATGTGGTTCTGCACACCACTGTTGTACTGCGCCATTATTTGCCTGTTTGTGGCCGGCCTGTTAGCTTGCACGATTCTTGCCATTCTCCTTCAATTTCTCATCAACGAGTTGTTTTCGCTCACAGGACTGCCGCCTGCTGGATGTTTTTTGTTTATCGCACCATTCTCGGGAAACTTTAGACACTGTCGTGCGTGAAAAGCTCAGGAGGCCAGACGTTTCTGAGATACTGGAACCGGTGCGCCTGGCACCGACGATCATACCACGCACAAAGTCATTTAGGTCATTCGTTTTGATCATTCTAACGTTCAATCGAACAGTAACTGAATGCCTTGATGCCCGTCTGCCTGCTTTATATAACAAGCCACGGCCACGTGACTCAATGTCTGTAGGAGTGAACCATTTTCGTGAACTGGCCACTGAGTGTAGGTTGGAAGTTGATGATGATGCCATGATGTGACAGAGGAGCTGGACTGCAAGTTCTAACAGAATCAACATATTCACAACAGCTCTTATGTCAAAATTTCATTAATCAAGTCTTGTTGCGAGAAAACTGTTGTTCTGACAGTTGTTTCAGTTACATAATGGCAACATCTATGACTAAATTTGTGGTTTGAACAACCAAATGCTAGCCTATATTATAGGGGGACGAGAAAGGATGTGTGAGAAAGAGGGGTTGCAGAATAAAACAAGAAAAAACCTACCTCAGAAACATTTATTCACTCTCCATTAATGTAATAAACACACACATTCACATTACAGTACCTTTAAAGAGAGGGGCAATGTTCCATGCAGAGACCCCTCCTTGCTTCATGAACTGACCAAGAGCGATTTCCAGGAAGAACACGGGAATACCTCCGATGAACACAATAATCATGTAGGGGATCAGGAACACGCCTACAACACGCAACACACACACATTAGCAACACAACTCCACACGCTACACAACACATAGGCTATATTTCACTAACATACAACCCAACACAACCTCTATTATGTGACAAATCTAGCAAATATAGGCTTAGTGCATACTTGTATATCTAGTGTTCAACTTGTTGTGGACAGATACAAGTCTCTCAATAACAGATTTATATTTCTACATGCTCATGAGAGAGAGAGCGAGAGAGACTAAGAGAGGGAGGGAGAGAGAAAGCGAGACGTATCGCAAGCTGAAGAACTAGAGCTGGCATTTAGGCTAAAACGTATCTAGCATAATGTTATTGCATTGCAGTGACAAGGGAGGAGAGAAGGAAGGCCAGATTGAGTGAGTGAGAGAAAGAGAGAGAGAGCGGGAGGAGGGGAGGAGGAGAGGAGGGTAGACAAGGCCATAGATAAAGAGGAGGTGTATTGAGAGGGAGAGGGAGATAATTCCTTTAGTGTTTGGGCATGAGTGCCTGGCATTGTCTTTTGGAGAGAGAGAAAGATAGAAAGTAGGTTGGATAAGGAGAGAGAATGAAAGAGAATGAGAAAGAGACAGCCAGTAAAAGTGAAAGTACACTAGGAGGGATTCTTGCTTGTAAAATATAACCTTCCTATATGTCCCTTTTACAGTATAACTGACTCAAAAGCTTGAGGTGAAATGAAAATGTCACCTTTGGATGCATACATACATTACATGACCAAAAGTATGTGGACACCGGCTCGCCGAATATCTCATTCCAAAATCATGGGCATTAATATGGAGTTGGTCCCCCCCAGCCTCCACTCTTCTGGGAAGGCTTTCCATTAGATGTTGGAACATTGCTGTGGGGACTTGCTTCCGTTCAGCCACAAGAGCATTAGTGAGGTCGGGCACTGATGTTGAGCAATTAGGCCTGGCTCGCAGTCGGCGTTCCAATTCATCCCAAAGGTGTTCGATAGGGTTGCGGTCAGGGCTCTGTGCAGGCCAGTCAAGTTCTTCTACACTGATCTCGACAAACCATTTCTGTATGGACCTCACTTTGTGCACGGGGGCATTGTCATGCTGAAACAGGAAAGGGCCTTCCCTAAACGGTTGCCACAAAGTTGGAAGCACAGAATCGTCTCGAATGTCATTGTATGCTGCAGCATTAAGATTTCCCTTCATTGGAACTAAGGGGCCTAGCCCGAACCATGAAAAACAGCCCCAGACCATTATTCCTCCTCCACCAAAATGTACAGTTGGCACAATTCATTGGGCCAGATAGCGTTCTCCTGGCATCCGCTAAACCCAGAGTTGTCCATCGTACTGCCAGATGGTGAAGCGTGATTCATCACTCCAGAGAACGCGTTTCCACTGCTCCAAAATGTATGCACTCACTAATTGTAAGTCACTCTGGATAAGAGCGTCTGCTAAATGACTAAAATGTAAACAAATTATCCAGAGTCCAATGGCGGCGAGCTTTACACCACTCCAGCCGACGCTTGGCATTGCACATGGTGATATTAGGGTTGTGTGCGGCTGCTCGGCCATGGAAACCCATTTCATGAAGCTCCCGGCGAACAGTTCTTGTGCTGACGTTGCTTCCAGAGGCAGTTTGGAACTCGGTAGTGAGTGTTGCAACCGAGGACAGATTAAAATTATTAAATATGATTTTGATTGTTTTTTACCCCCTTTTTCTCCCCAATTTCGTGATATCCAATTGCGATCCAATTACGATCTTATCTCATCGCTGCAACTCTCTAACGGGCTTGGGAAAGGCGAAGGTCGAGTAATTTGTCCTCCGAAACATGACCCGCCAAACTGCGCTTCTTAACACTCGCCCGCTTAACCTGGAAGCCAGCCGCATCAATGTGTTGGAGGAAACACTGTTCAACTGACGACCGAAGTCAGCCTGCAGGTGCCTGTCCCGCCACAAGGAGTCGCTAGAGCGCGATGAGCCAAGTAAAGCCCCCCCGGCCAAACCATCCCCTAACCCGGACGACGCTGGGCCAATTGTGCTCCGCCCTATGGGACTCCCGGTCACGGCCGGTTGTGACACAGCCTGGGATCGAACCCGGGTCTGTAGTGACGCCTTCAGCACTCGGCAGTCCCGTTCTGTGAGCTTCTGTGGCCTACCACTTCGTGGCTGTGCCGTTGTTGCTCCTAGATGTTTCCACTTCACAATAACAGCACTTACAGTTGACCGGGGCAGCTGACCAGGGCAGCAGCGCAGAAATTTGACAAGCTGACTTGTTGGAAAGGTGACATCCTATGACACTGCCACATTGAAAGTCTGTGAGCTCTTCAGTAAGGCCATTCTACTGCCAATGTTTGTCTATGGAGATTGCATGGCTGTGTGCTCAATTTTATACACCTTTCAGCAACTGGTGTGGCTGAAATAGCCGAATACACTCATTTGAAGGGGTGTCCACATACGTTTGTATATATAATGTATTTTACTTGGGATACTTTTATCTGAGATAATTTTATTTGGCAAACACATAAAGCAGAAATAGATCATCAAATAGAACAGAGCAAAGCTGACAACAACAAAGGAGAAGGTCAACAGCTACATCATAAATCAATTTGTTTTTAATCTGATGCGCTAGTTTTTACTGCCACTGCAGCTTCCTAACATGCCTTAGCAACAAAACACCTCTAAAACTGGAAGTACAGCGACAAAACAAACACAACATTCATCCAAACCCCCCACCCCAGAGATATTGGTATGTCCGGTATGATGAAACTATATACAGAGGACCATACCAATACTTAGAAGGAAGGGAGTCACATGAGAATGACACAGGGAGGAGACTGGCTGTTCAGATGTGGAGAAAAAAAAGAGAGGTATCATAACAGGAGAATGTAAGAAGGAAAGATGGACCGGAAAATTGGATGATAAGGTGATAAAGAAGAGGAGAAAATAGAGATCTGAGACATGAAAACACAATGATCTCATCTGGTGATAGGGACATTCTGATTCTCTCCCTCTCCGTCTCCCTCCTTCTCCCCGTCTCATTCACTGAGATCAGACAGCCGAAGCCATATAAGGAAGAGTTCAGAGAGAGAGAGAGAGAGAGAGAGAGAGGAGGGGGGGAGTGGGATAAGGAGAGAACGAGAGCGAGAGCGAGAGAGAGAGCAAGAGCGAGAGCGAGAGCGAGAGCGAGAGAGAGAGAGAGAGAGAGAGAGAGAGAGAGAGAGAGAGAGAGAGAGATTAGGAAGACTGAATGGATTAAAGAGGTTTGGAAAGACAAAAAAGAAAGAATGAAAAATAATAATGATTTTCCCTAAGCCACTACTGTATTAGACTCTCCATCATCATTTCACACATTAACTTCTCTCAAAGTATAGACTAGACTAAATATAGGACAACAGGGTTCAATATAAAAACAACAATCCCCTTCAAATTAATTGCCTCTATCTGTCCTCCACTTTAGTCAGTCAAATATCCGTCGGTGGGTGTTTGTTTGAGTAAAGAGAACAGGTCTGAGAGCCTGTGAGTGCCCAGTACTCAGTCTTATCTGATGCCGATGTTGTGTTACGAGACGTCCCCTGGCCTGGGTTGGTCAAGGACACCAAACGTGGCGTCGCAGTGGCACTGCTGACACAGAGGGAAGGACGGGCACAGGACGCTTATTGTGTGACATGCATCCATATGTCCCTTACTATCAGGGGAGGAGAGGAGAAAGCACCTTTGTGTGCAGGGTGCAGGGGGGGGGGGGGGGTTGACTGTGTGAGGCAGGCCATTGTTAAACGATATGAGAAGGTGGGTATCATAGTCAGGGGTCACAAGACAGAAGAGGGAGAGAGAGAGAGAGAGAGAGAGAGAGAGAGAGAGAGAGAGAGAGAGAGAGAGAGAGAGAGAGAGAGAGAGAGAAAAAAACACTCACTTTTATTCAAACATCTCATAAAAGTAGGAGGGACAGAGAGATAAGAAATAAAGAGCAAAGGTGGAAAGGACAGGTTACAGTAGCAAGAGAATGAGAGAAAGGAGGGGAGTGTGCTCAAGTGTCACCATATGAGGGGCATGGCTATTACGGCTACGTGCGTACACTCATGCAAGCCCTGCTTGGTCTCCCTCTATCTCTTCTCTCCTCCCTCCCTCCCTCTCTCTTTCTCTTTCCTCCCTCTTTCTCTTTACTCCCTCTTTCTCTTTACTTCAAATTGCCTTTCCGTCATATCAGTCCAACTGTTTGTTTTGCATATTAAATAATTGGGGTGTCATTATGTAGGAGTTTGTGACAGTGTCAGTGAGGGTGTGTGCATATGCTGAGTGCAAGTCTGTTTCAGTGTGTTTAATTAAGTCTGAGTATGTCTGTGTGTGCTGTGCATATGCTGAAGATGTGTGTGAGTATACTGTTTGTTGGTTTGTTTTTGTGTGTGTATATACATTGTGTGTGTGTGTGAGCTCACCTCCACCGTTCTTGTAGCAGAGGTAAGGGAAGCGCCACACGTTGCCCAGCCCCACAGCGAAGCCCACACAGGACATGATGAAGTCCATCTGTCTGGTCCAGGTCTCTCTCTCCACATATGGTACTGCTGTAGCCTGGACCTGAGGCTGTGTTTGGGTCTGTCCTCCCCCTCCCTCACACCCCCCTGACCCCGCCCCAACCCCAGGCACAGGGACTAGGGGGCGAGCCACACCACCCTCCTCCTCTGATGGAATCCCTGCTTCCATCTGGGAGAGCCGCACATCACCTGGGAGAGAGAGGGGGGGATGGTATGGAGGAAGAGTGGAGAGAGCAAGAAAGAAAGAGAGGGGTTAAAAGCCATTAGCTTGCCTTGTAAATCAACCAACCTTTTACAGCCACATAAACATAAAGGTCCACCAATCAACAAAATTACATAATCAATCATTGGAGTCACAAACTCGCAAAGTTGCAGTGAGTCACAGTGAGTGCCAAAAAGCCCCCCCCCCCCCCCCATCATTAAGATGGAGTGACTATAAGCATGGTGGAAACTTGTAGTTATATGTATGGTAGGCTATGTCTACTGCCTCTATATTTCTAAAAGAGCTGAGTGACAAAGCAGAACATTGTTAGTCCTATTACACAACAATATGAAATATTTATTAAATCCTCTCTAAGCCTATGACCTCCAGACAGTGCAGTTCTTCAGTCAGCAGTCTAAGCTTAGGCCTACATTTACCACCTGCTGTAAAAGCGGGCAGTACTCCTACTGTAATGTACACTCTTAGAAAAAAGGGTTCCAAAAGGGTTCTGCGGCTCTCCCCATAGGAGAACCCTTTTTGGTTCCATGTAGAACCCTTTTTGGTTCCAGGTAGAACTCTTTTGGGTTCCATGTAGAACCCTCCGAGGAAAGGGTATTACATAGAACCCAAAAGGGTTCTACCTGGAACCAAAAGGGGTTCTTCAAAGGGTTATCCTATGGGGACAGCTGAAGAACCCTTTCTGGTTCTAGATAGCAAAATTTTTCTAAGAGTGTAGGGTTGTAGGGTAGCTAGGCTCTGACTACTGGAAATGCAATTGGCTTTAATGGTCAAGATGCCTTTCTTGCATCTTCTCTCCCTCTTTATTTTTCCCTCCTTCTCAATTCAAATCAATGAGCTATTGACAAGTAAGCAAATCTTACAATTAATGCTCCCCCTCTCTTCTACCCTTTCTCTCCTACCCTCTCTCTCAGACCCTCTCCTACCCTCTCTCTCCTACCCTTTCTCTCCTACCCTCTCTCTCAGACCCTCTCCTACCCTTTCTCTCCTACCCTCTCTCTCAGACCATCTCCTACCCATTCTCTCCTACCCTCTCTCTCAGACCCTCTCCTACCCTCTCTCTGTCTCTCCTACCCTCTCTTTCCTACTCTCTCTCTCTCTTCCCAATTCCCAAACACTGAGTTGTGTGCTGCGGTACTACAATATTCCAGCCCGAGGTGTCTGTTTCACCACTGACTAAAACAAAGCTTTCATTTCCTTTCGCTCTGTCTTTCTCTTTCTTCCTCTCAAACAAACCAATTGTTCTGACAGTTCATTACTGTGCGCCTTCTATGATATCGATGTCAGCCGCTCTGATCCGGATGCACATTAGGAAAGCAGTTTTTTCCAGATCAGAGCAGTTAGAGGGAGTGTATGAGCGGGAGAGGGAGAGCAGGAGAGAGAGAGAATCTGATACTAATAGAATAGAATATGCTTTGATATCCGCTTTCACAGACATAGCAAGTCTGGCATGAGAGGTGGGTTGGTTTGCTATAATCCTTAGTTGGCCTATTCACTGGAGCATACTCAACCCATCAGACAGTGACTGATGGTTCTGACAGAAAGCTAGCCTGCCCTACACAATGCAGGTTTGTGTGATCGATGTAGTGTTATTAAGGTGGAACAGTTGGAGTGGATCTTGAACCAGCAAGCAAAACTGCTAACAGAGGTCCAGACCTCTTGGCAAAGTTGTAGAACACTCACATACAGGGAGGCTACACTTGGTTCCTGTCTAACCAGGAATCTAAACTTTAGCCTTGGCATTAGTTAGGTGTCACTGTGACCCCTGCGAACACAATCACAGATGAATGGAGCATGGTACAGCTTCTGGGCTGCAACAAGAATCTAATGTGTGAACAGGATTGGCACCTGCCTTTTTGAGTTTTCAACAGGTGCACACTACAGTATAGTCCAGTTAAATCAAGAGGGCTTGGCTTGACGATCATGCTGCATCACATATTTGTGAGGGATGTGTCGCTAATTTGGGATACCATACCTGGATAGCCTAATCATCTGACAGGTAGGTAGATGTTAGCTGGGTAACTCTAGTGTAACGTTAAGGTAGCAAAACCAGCAAGTGAGGTCTCTTGAACTCAGTCTTAAGTGACAGGTGAACTACCTATAACAGTAACATGTAATATGTCCATACTTAGCTAGTTAGATGTGCATCCGAGATGCACAGTAACGTTAGTGCCTATATCTAGTTAGCTATTATGTAGTAAAAACAAAACACCTGCTGTTGAAGCTAACGTTAGAGCCTAACTAAACTTAGCTATAGCTAGCTAGCTGGGGTCTTTGACATCTGCCTTGCTGCTTTGAATTCATTGAAGTCATAGCTATCGTTACAATATAACAATGCAACAACAATAATAATAATGTTATTACCATTGTTATTGTAATACTTGTTATTTTAAAAAATTACACTCACCTGGGGAGTTCTCTTCCACTTCTGGCGACATGTTGATTGATTAGGTTTAAATAACCCGGGTAGGTGGGTAGAGCCAAGTGCAGCTAGCTAGCAGCTAGTGACGCTATCAAGATACTCAGTGCGTCTCAGAGAGAGGAGAGAGAGAGAGAGGGAGAGAGAGAGAGAGAGAGAGAGAGACTATGCAGTTCTCCAGTTATTTCCTTGGTTGATTTTTCGTCTTCTTGTTATCAAAAAATATGTATATTTTTTAATTTATCATAACGAGTTGGTGCCCTTCAACAAGAAATTGAATATTTACAAAACGTCGCGTCAGACGTTGGGGAGAGGGAATTCAAAAGCAGTCGACGAAGCACTTGAAGGATAGCCTGAAGAATCTCATGGATGACAGTAAATGAAAATGATAGCTAGCTAGCTAGCTAGTAAATCGAGAGGTTTAGGTCGCTATTTGTATCGTTTAGTCAGAGGTCCAATTACCTAGCTAGCTACGTGATGTTGTATGCTGGGTAGGTCCTTCACCCCGCTCTGATGAGACGAAGAATGTGATGTGAGCGGTTCCTGGCTCGGTTGGTCTATCGGTTGGCAGCCCCCTCCTCCTCGCGCACGACCCTGCGACGCAATTGGCTAATCTGTGCAGTGCGCGTTCTACACTGCGTAGCAAAACCAGCACCATCACCAAGCCGCTTTTTATCATTCATACATTTGCACGACTCACAGGATAATAAATAAATAATCAAATATCGGATAGTCTACTGAAGTGGGAAATCATTCTGTTTACATGGATAATCATGTGAGCAACCGCACACACTGTCGTATCACCCCCCCCCCCCCCCCCCCCCCCCCAATGCTTACTGGATGAAAATAACATCATTTTGGCTGTAATGATCTCTAAAATTCAACGCATTAGCTAGTCACACTGTTGACATAGTAACGGACGCTAATCGAATCCTATTGTGGCCCATGGGGGACACGAATTGACAGGCAGACAGGACAGTAGGGGAGACCGGGGTTGGTTGTCACACTTTTTACTCGTGTGTATTTCTCAGCACCAGTATATCGTACATGACTCTTTTCAATATTAGGAGGACCCTTTTTATCCTAATATCTTATTCCAAAATGGAGTTATAAACCATCAACACACTCTGTCCACTTGTGACAACCAGCCCCATCATGGGGTTGGAAGACACACAGTATGGGGTTCGTTGTCACAATGTTTGCTAGTAGCTTATTCCTTTTTTAACAGTCTTAGAAATAGCCTTTCTTTGATCAAATGACATTACTAACAAAATTGAGCATTTTATACCATGAGAATAACATATGATATTTTGAGTACATTTGATTTGTGTATGCGTGTGTGGGTGTATGACAGAAAAATATGTGTGTGACAGAGGCAACGAAGGGCGCTCTTTATAGCACAAGCACAAAAGAGCTTATGATTTAAATCAGTGAAAAAAATCTGTTGTAAAAAAAAGTAACGCTTCCTATACTTTTAATGCATTTTTCTGCAAAAAGTGGGTAAACTGTTGGGCAAAGTGGTACTCCACTGGTTTTATTATAATTAGGTTGATAGTGACAACCCCACATTCGATGTGACAACCATCCCCTCTATTTGGCATGTCAGGCCCCCTACCCAGATAGCATGTAAACATGTCATAAAACATGTCAAAAATCTCTAGAATTACAGGAAATTAGCGTTAAAACAATGCAAATTTTCTCTCAGCCTCATGGCATAATACATTTACATTACATTTACGTCATTTAGCAGACGCTCTTACAAATTGGTGCATTCACCTTATAGCCAGTGGGATAACCACTTTACAATGTTTTTTTTTTTTTTAAATCTTTTTTGTTTTTGTATTTGTTATTTCTTTTTTTAAAAAATTTTTATAATTTTTTTATTTTGGGGTAAGGGGGGTAGAAGGATTACTTTATCCTATCCCAGGTATTCCTTAAAGAGGTGGGGTTTCAAATGTCTCCGGAAGGTGGTGACCTGTCCTGGCGTCGTGAGGGAGCTTGTTCCACCATTGGGGTGCCAGTGCAGCGAACAGTTTTGACTGGGCTGAGCGGAAACTATGCTTCCGCAGAGGTAGGGGAGCCAGCAGACCAGAGGTGGAAATGTGTAGAAATGCATTGCATTAGCTATAAAACTGCACATTTTTCTCTTTGCCCCATGGCAAAATGTGTAAATTGCAGGATGTTAGCCTTTTTCCCAAAAAAAATGTAATGTTTTTCCCAAAAAAGTATTATTATTATTTTTGGTTGGGGGGCCTGGCTTGCTCGGACCTTTCAGGGTGCCATAGTGTAAAATCAGTAAAAATCTGAGTAAAATCTCAATGTCAGACAGCCTAGCTGGCAGCTTATTGGGCTGGATAGATAACAGCACATGTCATATTCTATTTCAAATTGTCCATAAAACACAATCGCATTCAATTCGTGAATGAATAAGAGTATGTATTTATATTTTCGTGCATAAATGAGTAATTCACAGTCACTGAAATGTCGCCCCAGGAAGGCGCGATGCGGTATGAAAAATGATAGCCTAGTGTCGCTGCGCCCTCCCTCATGCATTTCTAGAGCATTTTTTTGCAAGGGCAATCTCGTGACGCACAGTGGGCCACTCAGTCTAGCCGCTCTAGCCCACAGTTGGAAACATTTTATTTTTTAATTTTTTACATGAATGACTTAAACATAACGAGGAGAAACTAGCCCATGGTCTGTCCATCTTTACCATATAATTGGCTTAATACATGTGCAGTCATTTGATGATGGCAATACTGTATTTGCACAGATCAGATTAATTTAAGGCTCCTTTAGGCCGATAGTAGATTTATAGCCTAAAGTGGCGTCCAGTCTTTAATTCATCAACCTGGAATAGGACAGACTACGATAAGCGATTACTCCAAGGACAACGCAATCATTCACTTTAGTGGCATATAATAAAATTACGCAATTAAGCTAATTACAGTATAGCATGCCTAGTACTAATATATCAGTATCTAGGGCTAATTTGTACTCTGGGGCACCTGTGTCTGTAATTTGTCTGTTGGTCCTATACAGCATGATGCACGTGGCCGTCAACAAACAAATCAATACACGCACGCATATAGCCTCTTTCCAGATCAGCCTACACTGTGCTACAGTAGCCATACTGTCAATCTCACGTACAACAGTCACGTTTGGCACTTTATGATGAGGTTCTTAATAGGTTTAGTTTAGGGGGTTGGAGAGGACGGGTCAGTCCATGTTGTGTGTACTAACAATCCATTCATTCGGTGCCTGCCTGTACTTATCCGGGTCTTTGAGGGCAACCGCATTTATAGTTTAATGTTTTCGTTTGGCCCTTTTTTTAAAGGGGATAAGAATGCAAAAAACCTAATGAATTGTTGTTTTCATTTAGCTACACTTTATGTCTTATTCCTGGCATATGACCCATACGCCTAGTAAAGCCGTCCCAAAGTGCTCAAAACCAGCACCATCGTCACATGCATGCAGTTCAATTTGGAATGGATTTGATCGCATCTGCTTGTTGACCTTGGGCGACATCTAGCGGACAAGAAGATGTTGGCAGCTCAGGGTGGAAGAGTCTGGTTGACACCACAGGTATAATAAGAACCCCAGCTCTCGAAGTCAGCGCGCTGTGTAGTCACGTGTGTCGCGCGTCACCAGACAAGAAAGACATGGGCCTTTTATCAATTAGATTCACTCTCGCCTCCTTTTGAAAAAGGTCCACATTAATCGAGGAGAGTTAGCAAGGAGTGATCGTGGATGGAAATGTACTTGCTTGAAATGAGACGGTCCTTCGCCACTGGCGCGTCATTAAGCAAATTACGTTTACAAAGGTGGACCCACAATACATTTGTAAAGTGCTCCAAAAATGTAAGTTAGTTGTGCAATACATTTTATAGATAAAACTATAAGTAGAATATTGTTTTTAAACATGTGTATGTTTTGTTCCTCTGACAAAACAAAAACTCATTCCAAGGGGGGTGTGTCAGATTTCAAAACTCTTCCGCGGTAGGATTCACTTCTGCCACAGATACGGTAGAACAATGAACCAGATGTTTCACCGGATGTACAAATCTAAAGCATCCGGTTGGCGTTTCCACTCACCACCAAATATGGTGATGATATGAAGCCATGTGGCCGGCAGTGGGTGAAGATCGAGCGAGATGGATTTCTCATCGATGAAACATTTGATCTCAATAGAGTTTTCTGTTCCCAAAACTAGAATATGTTACGAACAGAGTGGACACATTTTTGTAACTTCACCCTTTGTCAAAGTTTCTAAAAAGAGTGTTGTTTAGGAGTGAAGGGGCGAATTGAGTTATTGCACACGCGCACTTCACAGAGTTGGCGTTCCCTAACGGAAATATGCAAATGTATGCTAGAACGAACACTTGTTCTGCCCACTATGATTATTTGCTCCCATTGGAAATGACAGGCTGTGGTCCATCTTGGGTTAGTTATAAAAAAGAATTGGTTGTGCTTCCGAAGGGGTAAGGGTTCCGGAGTCATGGCTAGAAGGGATCCAGACTTTTCGTAGCAGGTTAGGAGAATTTACGGAGCAGGTTAGGATAATTAGGTTAAGGTTAGGAAAAGGGTTAGGGCTATCTAACATGCAAAATGTGTTAATTTGACAAAAGCTAGATCCCTTCTAACTATGACTGGGTTCCGGTCTAGAAGCACGGTTTCGACTGCTCAGACAGTTTTGCTTAGGTACTGCAGTTTAAATGATGCCCGGCCCAGAAATAACATTTCCATAGACAGCCACATAGAGAAGTCAGTTTTGAAAATTCCTAATAAGACACTTTAGTTATCACCTTTGTGCACAAAACATACATTGAATTATGAAAATCATTGTCACTGAGGCAAAAAAAATTCTCCATCACTCACAGCCGAAAATCTTAAAATGTGATATATTCATCCATCTTTTTGGATGACGTGACGTTATCGCTGCTCACGCTGCTCCCTGTGTACACTAAGTGCTATTGCGCATGTGACGTTGGTCCGTATAAACCGGATGCAACCCAGATATAGACATCCATGGGGTTTTCTCGTTTGGGCAAAAGACCGTCGTCCTCTGTTCTCTCTCCTCTGTGACCCGGAAACAGATAAGTAGGCAAACATAAGTGTCCTCCCCTCCTCGACAGCTTCCTTCCATTGAGGATACATGTGTATCCTACCACAGAAGAGTTTTGCAATCTGCCACACCCCCTTTGAATCAGCTTTTGTTTTGTCAGAGGAGAAAAACATGCACACATTTAAAAACAATATGCTACTTATTGTTTTATCTATAAAATGTCTTGCACAACTAACTTCATTTGTTTTTATCACTTTCCACATTTATTTTGGGATCCACCCCATTAAACGTAATTAGCCTAATGATGGGCGAGTGGAGAAGGAACGTCTCATTTCAATCAAGCGCATTTCCATCCCCGTTCACTCTCATCGCCAACTCTCCTTGATTAACCTTGACCTTTTCAAAAGGAGGCGAGAAGGGACGGAGGAGAGAGGACGCAGGAGGTGAGCATTGATAAAAGTCCTATGAATCGGCGTATGTTGTTCTAAAAGAGCTGCAAAATCTGGACCCCTACAAATCATCTGGACTAGACAATCTGGACCCTTTCTTTCTAAAACTAGCCGCCGAAATTGTCGCAACCCCTATTACTAGCCTGTTCAACCTCTCTTTCGTAACGTCTGAGATCCCCAGAGATTGGAAAGCTGCCGCGGTCATCCCCCTCTTCAAAGGGGGTGACACTCTAGATCCAAACTGTTACAGACCCATATCCATCCTGCCCTGCCTTTCAAAAGTTTTTGAAAGCCAAGTCAACAAACAGATCACCAACCATTTCGAATCCCACCGTACCTTCTCCGCTATGCAATCCGGTTTCCGAGCTGGTCATGGGTGCACTTCAGCCACGCTCAAGGTCCTAAATGATATTATAACCGCGATCGATAATAGACAGTACTGTGCAGCCGTTTTCATTGACCTGGCCAAGGCTTTCAACTCTGTCAACCACCGCATTCTTATTGGCAGACTAAATAGCCTTGGTTTCTCTAATGACTGCCTCGCCTGGTTCACCAACTACTTCTCAGATAGAGTTCAATGTGTCAAATCGGAGGGCCTGTTGTCTGGACCTATGGCAGTCTATGGGGGTGCCACAGGGTTCAATTCTTGGGCCAACTCTTTTCTCTGTGTATATCAATGACGTCGCTCTTGCTGCTGGTGACTCTCAGATCCACCTCTACGCAGACGACACCATTTTGTATACATCTGGCCCTTCATTGGACACTGTGTTAACAAACCTCCAAACGAGCTTCAATTCCATACAACACTCCTTCAGTAGCCTCCAACTGCTCTTAAACACTAGTAAAACAAAATGCATGCTCTTCAACCGAACGCTGCTTGCACCCGCCCACCCGACTAGAATCACTACTCTAGACGGGTCTGACCTAGAGTACGTGGACAACTACAAATATCTAGGTGTCTGGTTAGACTGTAAACTCTCCTTCCAGACTCACATTAAGAATCTCCAATCCAAAGTTAAATCTAGAATCGGTTTCCTATTTCGCAACAAAGCCTCCTTCACTCATGCTGCCAAACATGCCCTTGTAAAACTGACTATCCTACCGATCCTTGACTTCGGCGATGTCATTTACAAAATAGCCTCCAACACTCTACTCAGCAAATTGGATGTTGTCTATCACAGTGCCATCCATTTTGTCTCCAAAGCCCCATATAATACCCACCACTGTGACCTGTACGCTCTTGTTGGCTGGTCCTCACTACATATTCGTCGCCAAACCCACTGGCTCCAGGCCATCTATAAATCACTGCTAGGCAAATCCCCGCCTTATCTTAGCTCATTGGTCACCATAGCAACACCCACCCGTAGTCTGCGCTCCAGCGGGTATATCTCACTGGTCATCCCCAAAGCCAACACCTCCTTTGGCCGCAATTCCTTCCAGTTCTCTGCTGCCAATGACTGGAACAAATTGCAAAAATCTCTGAAGCTGGAGACGCTTATCTCCCTCACTAACTTTAAGCATCAGTTGTCAGAGCACCTTACCGATCACTGCACCTGTACACAGCCCATCTGAAATTAGCCCGCCCAACTACCTCATCCCTATATTGTTATTTATTTTGCTCATCTGTACCCCAGTATCTCTATTTGCACATCATCTCTTGCACATCATTCCAGTGTTAATACTAAATTGTAATTATTTTGCACTATAGCCTATTTTATTGCCTTACCTCCATAACTTGCTAAATTTGCACACTGTATATTAATTGTATTTCTGTTGTATTTTTTTTTTTTTTGATTTTTGTTTTGTTTTACCCCATATGTAACTCTGTGTTGTTGTTTTTATCGCACTGCTATGCTTTATCTTGGCCAGGTCGCAGTTGTAAATGAGAACTTGTTCTCAACTGGTTTACCTGGTTAAATAAAGGTGAAATAAAATAAATAAAATAAAGTATGCGAACGTGAGTAGATTACCTTGAAAACAACAGTCGGACATCTTGGACGCAGTCTCCAGTTCTTATTATACCTCAGTGGTGCTTCCTCGCCAAAGGAGGCTATCGAGGAGGACAGAGGAAGGGAGGACCGTCTTCCGTTTGCCTTTTAACGAATTGACACACTCCTCGACCACTCAACAACTTATCGGTCACAGAGGAAAGAGGACATAGGAAAGACTTTTGCCCAAATGAAAATGAGAAAACCCTATGGAATGCGCCTCGGTGCCAGGCTTAGATAATAAATCACTTTCACTGTAGCTACAGAAAAAAACATACAAATTGTATTTTTTCCCATGACTTATTGTATGTATATAGTGAACAAGACATGTAATAGACTCAGTGCAACATCAACCAGTCAAGTAATAAAGATACATTCATCAATCACCTTATTAAGTTAATAAATAATAATACATAGATAATAAATAATCAAATACAATGAATAAATAGATAAATAAACAAATAAATAAACACACTAATCTGAATCCTGAATCAAGCAGACATTGAAAAATAACGATTACAACAACAAAGAAGTTACTGTAAACCACAAACGTGATGCACGCGTGATATAACAGCAGAATATGTACTGCATTCTTCTTCTTTTTTTTCCCACACTGCTCGACGCACCTCAAAACAAAAACAATAACAAAAGGTGCTGGGAGCAGACAGTGGCGCTGTTTCCCCTAATGCGGGTTCCATCTTTAACAAGTGGAGTTGTATGAATGGACAGCTCATTTGAAAATGAGAGTGCTTCTTTATCATCATAACACAACCACCAGACAGGAACTGTAACATAGAAACTGGGTTTGGATTACAGACGTGTAATGGAGTCAAATTGTACTGGATAAACTCATCCACAGCTTGAAATGGGGCCATTGAATTTGATCATTTTCGGTGGCGCAACTGGTTTGTACGTCAAGCAGGTGGACACGTGTTTGAGATCAGAGGACCACTGGTTCAAGCCCAGGAAGAGGAAAGGGACAGTTGAGGAAGCGAAGCTGTTAGCAGCACAGTGACAGTGGGCTGGGCCAACATAAATATCTAATGCTTGAGGGTCCCGGGGCCTGGTTTGTTATTGTGCTGTCTAGAGCCCACTAGCACCCCCATCATCCCAACTCTATTGACAAATACTCTCAGAACATCACATCACTCATGAAAGAAAGACAGAACTACACAGACACAATCCCACATCAAATCTGCCTGTCAGGAAGACATAGATAGATGGATCATCTGATTATATTCTAATTTGGCTCAATTTGCTGTCTGGTAATTTTACATACGTCCATGTGCATACTACATTTAAAACAATAATGGATCCCTCAGAACCTTAACTATGACTGCAAAACAGACAAATGCAACTAAAATGTCTGCATGTGTAATTAGAACTGAGTTTGAATTCAATTAATTACACAGGTACTTTGTCTTTCTTTTCAGATATTCTCTGAGGGGCAAATCCTAACTGCCATTTAAGTCAAATTTCACTTAGTCTCCCATTGACATCAATGCAACATGACTAAGGGAACATTCTATCTACTTAAGTGGAAGTTCTGATTTGCCCCTGTGTGCTTAAAGGAAAGTGTGTATCTCCCCACAGTGTGTTTCCAGTGGCCCTAGCTACATTACTACAGGTCCTGGTGGAGGTTGCTGTGAGGGAGGGGGGTGTCCCGCTCCTCTCTGCCCGTCTCGCCCTCCTGTCTGTGGGTCACCAGTCTCTGGTAGCGAGCTTGGCGTTGGTGGTCTGGGTCCACGTTCACCCAACTGTTGGCCACCCACTTCACCCCTCGGGTCACAGGGCAGTCCCCGTGGAGGGAGTACTCATCCAGCTCACCCATCCAACCTGCAGGACAGGGGAGGGGAGAGTGGGTTTGACTAGTGGCTTACGGTGTTAACGGAGAAAACGAGTCACAAAGAATGGAGCAGTGTGTGTGTGCTGGAACATACCTTTGCCATCAGAGAGATGGTTGTACCAGAGGAGAGCAGTCCCAGCGGTTGGTTTCACCCTGAGGTTTCCTCTGTCACAACTCTGCTGTGTGTCTGTCAGATCCACACCACCCTGCACTAAAGCCTGGAGGACACACACAGCCATGCAAACACAACAAAACTGCAGCTCCTCTATGCTCCTTATATGAAGCATGACAAGTGCTTCTTAGTCAGATTCCTTGTCATTGTTCAGCACTATGTTTGCAATAGCAGCACAATTCAGGAAATCAGTAGTCTTCTCATCATTCAACATGAAAGCAAAAACTCTTAACACTGACAGTACTTATAGTATGGTCACCCACCTCCTCCTCATAGGTACGATTGTCTGCCACAGGGAAAGTGGTCTCTCCGCCTCCCTCCACAGAGTTCAGGTAGAGTAACACAGTTATGTACCTGGGGAGAAGGAGGGAAGAGCCGTATATTAAGGGGACTATATCAATCTGACTAGAATATGGGAGGATCAAAGTGCAAACAGATGGACACCCTAAAAAGATGACAACCTATGAAAATTAGAGCAAGCATATGGATACACTGAGACACCCACACACACACATATATATAGAAAGAGACACACCTGCAGGAGATCTCGGTGTGTGCCGAAGTGTTTCCAGCCAGGCGTGTGTGAGAGCAGGTGGTCTCTGGATGGGAGGGGCTACTGTCGTGGTGGGCGTGGCTGAAGCCTCCCTGCTCGTAGCGAATCACCTGCAGCGGCTCGCTCAGCTCAACCAATGGGGAGGGCAGACGCGCTAGATGGGTCACCCTAAGGAAGGAGAGAGGCCGGAATAAAGTCATAAAAACAGTATGACAACTGAGTTAGTATGAAAACTGAGTGAGTGTTACCTGTTCCTCAGTGTGTGTAGTATATGGTGTGATCCTGGTCCCTGGTACAGCCAGGTGTGTCGGCTCTTCCTTTTCGGTTGGCCCCGCCTTGTTCCGGCTCGTTGCTGCAAGGGATGCTGGGACATGCCGTCACACACACGCCTGAACTCCTCTAGAGTTAACACACCTGCCGGGACAACACACACGGTTAGCACCCACCCACACACACACCCACACCGCCCCTCTCTCTCACCAGCTCTCCTATTCACTTCATCCATTCTCTCCATCTCGCTCTTCTTAGGGCTGTTACTCTCAGCTCCTCTTTCTCCTCTGGTTATTCTCCTATCTTTCTCTTCCCACGCTCATTTTCTGTATCTGTAGCCCTGTATGCTGGTGCAGCTCTCTCTCTCTCCCTGTGACTCTCTCTCTCTCTCTCCCCCTGTGACTCTCTCTCTCTCTCCCCTGTGACTCTCTCTCTCTCTCTCCCTATGACTCTCTCTCTCTCTCCCTATGACTCTCTCTTATGAATCTTCTTCCCAATCGTGTTGGTGACTCTCTCTCTCCCCTGGTGACTTCTCTTATCCCCCGTTGGTGTGAACTACTCTTATCACCATCTCTCTCTCCCTGTGACTCTCTCTCCCCCTGGATCTCTCTTATCTCATCTCTGCTCCCCCTAAACTGTGACTCTACGACTCTATCCACAATACCGTCCTGGTGAGGACTCTATCTCACTCTCTCCCGTTGAACTTCTCTATCTACTACTCTACCTTTATGACTTCTTCTCTCCCCTTGACTCCTCATCCTCTCTCCTTTTGTGACTCTCTCACCGTGACTCTCTCTCTCTCTCTCCCCCTGTGACTCTCTCTCTCCCCCTGTGACTCTCTTCATCCCCTCTTCTCTCTCCCTGTGACTCTCTCACCGTTGACTCTCTCTCTCCCTCTCTCTCCCTGTGATCTATCTATCTCTATCTCCCTCCCTTGTGACTCTCTCTCTCTCCATCCCTCCCTGTGGACTCTCCTATCTCTCTCTTGTGACTCTCTCTCTCTATCCCCCCGGTGACTCTCTCTCTCTCTCCCCTGTGACTCTCATCTCTCTCCCCTATGACTCTCTCTCTCCACTGTGGACTCTCCCCTCTCTCTTCTCACTGTGACTCTATCTCTCTCTCCCTCCTTGACTCTCTCTCTCTCCCTCCTCCTGACTCTCCCTATCTCCTCTCTCTCTCTCTCTCCTTTGGACTCTCTCTCTCTCTCTCTCTCCCTCCCTGTGACAATCTCTCTCTCTCTCTCCCCCTCCCTGTGGGATCTCTTTCTCCTGTGTTCTCCTCTCCCTGGATTCTCTCTCTCTCCGTTCATTCTCTCTCTGCTTTCTCTCTCTCTCTCTGGGATATGTTCACTCTGTCTCTCTCTCTCTGTCTCTCTGCTCTCTATCTCTCTCTCGGACTCTTCTCTCCCTCCTCTCCCTCTCTCTCCCTCTCTCTCTCTCTCTCTCTCTCTCGCTGTTACGCTCGGCTGACTGAACCTCCGGGCCCCCTTTCCCCTCGTCCCCCTATGAAGCAGCGCCCCAGACTAAACAATAGCTCTGGGGTGCAGGAGGGGAGGATGGAGCGGATAAGTGTGGGGAGGAGGGTTACGAGGGATCCGGGGGAATGTTAAGGAAGGAGGTTGGCAGGGCACATATTTTAATGAGATGATGGGACACATCCGGACTGGGACACGCAAACGGCGCCTGGCATAATGGCATCAGGTCACCCCCCCCCCCCCCCCCCCTTGGTCACACACACCCTTGACACGCACAAACACTCACCCCTTAATAATACTTCTACCAGCTGGCAGAGGGAAAGCCCGGCACAAAGGCTTTGGGAAAGACACATACATACACAAACCAAATCAAATTTGTATTTTATTTGTCACATGCTTTGTAAACAACCGGTGAAATACTTACTTATGGGTCCTTTTCCAACAATGCAGAGTTTCCAACTAATTTGAAGGGGTACATACTTTTATATATACAGCTCTGGAAAAAATTAAGAGACCACTGCAAAAATATAAGTTTCTCTGGTTTTAATATTTATAGGTATGTGTTTGGGTGAAATTAACATTTTTGTTTTATTCTATAAACTACTGACAACATTTCTCCCAAATTCCAAATAAAAAGATTGTAATTTAGAGCATTTATTTGCAGAAAATGACAACTGGTCAAAATAACAAAAAAGATGCAGTGTTGTCAGACCTTGAATAATGCAAAGAAAATAAGTTAGTGTTCATTTTTAAACAACACAATACTAATGTTTTAACTAAGGAAGAGTTCAGAAATCAATATTTGGTGGAATAACCCTGATTTTAAATCACAGCTTTCATGCGTCTTGGCATGCTCTCCACCAGTCTTTCACATTGATGTTGGGTGACTTTATGCCACTCCTGGCGCATAAATTCAAGCAGCTCGGCTTTGTTTGATGGGTTGTGACCATCCATTTTCCTCTTGATCACATTCCAGAAGTTTTCAATGGGGTTCAGGTCTGGAGATTGGGCTGGCCATGACAAGGTCTTGATCTGGTGGTCCTCCATCCACACCTTGATTGACCTGGCTGTGTGGCATGGCGCATTGTCCTGCCGGAAAAAACAATCCTCAGAGTTGGGGAACAATGTCAGAGCAAAAGGAAGCAAGTTTTCTTCCAGGACAACCTTGTACGTGGCTTGATTCATGCGTCCTTCACAAAGACAAATCTGCCCGATTCCAGCCTTGCTGAAGCACCCCCAGATCATCACCGATCCTCCACCAAATTTTACAGTGGGTGCGAGACACTGTGGCTTGTAGGCCTCTCCAGGTCTCCGTCTAACCATTTGACACCCAGGTGTTGGGAAAAGCTGAAAATTGGACTCATCAGAGAAGATGACCTTACTCCAGTCCTCTATGGCCCAATCCTAATGGTCTTTTTTCTCATTGATGAAGGGCATTTTTCTAGCTTTGCACGACTTCAGCCCTGCCCCTAGGAGCATGTTTCGAACCGTCCTCGCCGTGCACTTCACCCCAGCTGCCGTTTGCCTTTCTTTATGTAGGTCACTTGATGTCATCCTACGGTTGTTGAGTGACATTCAAATGAGTTGGCAGTCATCCCGGCCAGTAGAGAGTCGTTTTCGCCCTCTGCCGGTCTGTAGCTTTGTTGTCCCCAATGTCTGCTGCTTGACCTTGTTCTTATGAACCGCCGTCTTTGAAATTTTAAGGATGGAAGCAACCTGACACTCACTGTATCCCTCTGCCAGTAAAGCCAGAATTGAACCCTTCTTTTCCTCACTCAAAACGTTCCTTTTCAACTCTTTTGGCATGGTCAATAGTTATTTTTTTATTAATATTACTTTTGAGGTACTATTAGCACTGTTTTTGCCATCCAGCTGGTCCTATTGCAAGAGGATAGTGAAGACCACAGCAGTGGATTTTATACTTTTCCTCATTAAATAAGATTTGGTTCATGTGATCACCTAATCAGTACCTAATTCAGTAGAATGAGGTGTGCCTGTGTTGGAATTCAACAGACACTGGAATGGAATGGCTGTCATGCATGTAGAGATTGTTGGCTGGTCCTCCCTACATATTCGTCGCCAAACTCACTGGCTCCTGGTCATCTATAAATCACTGCTGGGCAAATCCCCGCCTTATCTTAGCTCATTGGTCACCATAGCAACACCCACCCGTAGTATGCGCTCCAGCAGGTATATCTCACTGGTCATCCCCAAAGCCAACACCTCCTTTGGCCGCCATTCCTTCCAGTTCTCTGCTGCCAATGACTGGAACGAACTGCAAAAATCTCTGAAGCTGGAGACTCTTATCTCCCTCACTAACTTTAAGCATCAGTTGTCAGAGCACATTACCGATCACTGCACATGTACACAGCCCATCTGAAATTAGCCCACCCAACTACCTCATCCCCATATTGTTATTTATTTTGCTCATTTGCACCCCAGTATCTCTATTTGCACATCACCTATTGCACATCTATCATTCCAGTGTTAATACTAAATTGTAATTATTTTGCACTATGGTCTATTTATTGCCTTACCTCCATAACTTGCTACATTTGCACACACTGTATATATATATTTTCTGTTGTATTTTTGACTTTATGTTTTGTTTACCCCATATGTAACTCTGTGTTGTTGTTTTTATCGCACTGCTTTGCTTTATCCTTGGCCAGGTCGCAGTTGTAAATGAGAACTTGTTCTCAACTGGCTTACCTGGTTAAATAAAGATGAAATAAATAAAATAAATAAAAATGCTGATTTAAGAAAAATTGCAGTGGTCTCTTAATTTTTTCCAGAGCTGTATATAAATACATTTACAGTTGAAGTCGGAAGTTTACATACACCTTAGCCAAATACATTTAAACTCCGCTTTTCACAATTCCTGACATTTAATCCTAGTAAAAATTCTCTGTCTTAGGTCAGTTAGGATCACCACTTTATTATAAGAATGTGAAATGTCAGAATAATAGTAGAGAGAATGATTTATTTAAGCTTTTATTTATTTCATCACATTCCCAGTGGGTCAGAAGTTTACATACACTCAATTAGTATTTAGTAGCATTGCCTTTAAATTGTTTAACTTGGGTCAAACATTTCGGGTAGCCTTCCACAAGCTTCCCACAATAAGTTGGGTGAATTTTGGCCATTCCTCCTGACAGAGCTGGTGTAACTGAGTCAGGTTTGTAGGCCTCCTTGCTTGCACACGCTTTTTCAGTTCTGCCCACAAATGTTCTATAGGATTGAGGTCAGGGCTTTGTGATGGCCACTCCAATACCTTGACTTTGTTGTCCTTAAGCCATTTTGCCACAACTTTGGAAGTATGCTTGGGGTCATTGTCCATTTGGAAGACCCATTTGTGACCAAGCTTGAACTTCCTGACTGATGTCTTGAGATGTTGCTTCAATATCTCCACATAATTTTCCTTCCTCATGATGCCATCTATTTTGTGAAGTGCACCAGTCCCTCCTGCAGCAAAGCACCCCCACAGCATGATGCTGCCACCCTCGTGCTTCACGGTTGGGATGGTGATCTTCGGCTTACATTTTACATTTTAGTCATTTAGCAGACGCTCTTATCCAGAGCGACTTACAGTTAGTGAGTGCATACATTATTATTTTTATTCATACTGGCCCCCCGTGGGAATCGAACCCACAACCCTGGCGTTGCAAACGCCATGCTCTACCAACTGAGCTACATCCCTGCCGGCCATTCCCTCCCCTACCCTGGACGACGCTGGGCCAATTGTGCACCGCCCCATGGGTCTCCCGGTCGTGGCCGGCTACGACAGAGCCTGGATTCGAACCAGGATCTCTAGTGGCACAGCTAGCAATGCGATGCAGTGCCTTAGACCACTGCGCCACTCGGGAGACTAGGCTTGCAAGCTTCCCCCTTTTTCCTCCAAACATAACGATGATCATTATGGCCAAACAGTTCTATTTTTGTTTCATCAGACCAGAGGAAATTTTTCCAAAAAGTATGATCTTTGTCCCCATGTGCAGTTGCAAACCGTAGTCTGGCTTTTTTATGGCGGTTTTGGAGCAGTGGCTTCTTCCTTGCTGAGCGGCCTTTCAGGTTATGTCGATATAGGACTCGTTTTACTGTGGATATAGATACTTTTGTACCTGTTTCCTCCAGCATCTTCACAAGGTCCTTTGCTGTTGTTCTGGGCAAAAAAAATTCTGAGGTCTTGGCTGATTTATTTTGATTTTCCCATGATGTCAAGCAAAGAGGCACTGAGTTTGAAGGTAGGCCTTGAAATACATCCACAGGTACACCTCCAATTGACTAACATGATGTCAATTAGCCTATCAGAAGCTTCTAAAGCCATGACATCATTTTCTGGAATTTTCCAAGCTGTTTAAATGCACAGTCAACTTAGTGTATGTAAACTTCTGACCCACTCGAATTGTGATACAGTGAAATATAAGTGAAATAATCTGTCTGTGAACAATTGTTGGAAAAATTACTTGTGTCATGCACAAAGTAGATGTCCTAACCGACTTGCCAAAACGAAAGTTTGTTAACAAGACATTTGTGGAGTGGTTGGAAAATGAGTTTTAATGACTCCAACCTAAGTGTATGTAAACTTCCGACTTCAACTGTAAGTAAAAATACTTTAAAAGTACTACTTAAGTAGTTTTGGGGGGTATCTGTACTTTACTTTATATATATTTGACTACTTTTACTTCCCTACATTCCTAAAGAAAATAATGTACTTTTTAGTCCATACATTTTCCCTGACACCCAAAAGTACTCGTTTCATTTTGAATGCTTAGCAGGACAGGAAAATGCTCCAATTCACACACTTATCAAGAGAACATCCATGGTCATCTCTACTGCCTCTTATCTGGGGAACTCACTAAACACAAATGCATTGTTTGTAAATTATGTCTGAGTGTTGGAGTGTGCCCCTGGCTATCCGTAAATAAATAAATAATTGTATCGTCTGGTTTGTTCAATATAAGGAATTTGAAATTCTTTATACTTTTACTTTTGATACATAAGTATATTGGAGCAATTACAGTTACTTTTGATACTTAAGTATATTTAAAACCAAATACTTTTAGACTTTTACTCAAGTAGTATTTTACTGGGTGACTTTCACTTTTACTTGAGTCAATCTGTATGGACCCCAGGAAGAGTAGCTGCGGCTTTCGCAACAGCTAATGAGGATCCTAATAAAATACCAAATACCCTAGGAACCTCAAGAGCTAACCAATCCTGTGAACGGGTTAGGCAACTCAGGTGTCTATACTTCAACAGCAAAGTTAGATAAGATGGAAGTTTATGAAGTAGGGCCTTTTAAACAAAAAGGGAGTAATGTAGAGATCTACTGGTTTTTAGTAGTCCTGCCAACCTTTTGATAAAGGATGCAGTGATGAGTATTAAAACTGTAGCCTGTAACAAAAACTAAGGGCACTATGGTAGATGGCATCCAAAGGTTTAAGAGTAGTAGCAGCTGCACTTTGATAAATAATATCACCATAATCAAGAACAGATAAACAGGTTGACTGAATAATCTGCTTCCTACTGCTTAGAAAAAGACACAATGTTTCTGTAGAAAAAGCCAACTTTAAATCTTAGCTTCTTAAATCAGCTCATCTATGTTTTTTAAAATGTCAAATCCAAATGCATACGTATTTATATGCGGGAACACATTTGATTGGAGAACCATCTAATGAGTGAACATGTAGTTCATCTGAAACATTGTTAAGAGAGTTTAAAAACAACATGTGAGCGCTACGGGCCGATAGTCATTTAGGCAGGTTACCATGGCGTTCTTGGGCACAGGGACTATGATGGTCTGCTTGAATCAAGTTGGTATTACAGACCGGGTAAGGGAAAGTTTGAAAATGTCAGTGAAGACCCTTGCCAGCTGGTCAGCGCATGTTCCGAGTACGCGTCCTGGTATTCCGTCTGCCTTGCCAATGTTAACCTGTTTAAAGGTCTTACTCACATCGGCTACGGAGAGCGAGACACACACTACAAAGTACCTGCTGGGCTGTCCTCCTGGCCGGTGAGTATCTGTCGTAGGTTCTCTGGGCTCAGCCAGGTCCTGTCCCGTGAACGAGAGTGACTCAAGATCTGGGACAGAAACACACAACCACAAACGAATGAGCTGCTGGCCGCTCTCTATCCCCTTCTCTACCCCTCCCTCTCTCATCCACCCACCCCTCCCTCCCTCATCCCCCTTTCTCTCACTTCCTGTCTCTGCAGTAGTCCGTCTTGGTCCAGGTCTAGCAGGCTGAAGGTCTCCTCGGGGCTGAGGGAGAGCAGTGGCTGCAGTTCCTCCTCCTGGTCTCCTGGTGGCACTGTGGCCTGGCTCTCCATCAGACCCTTCAGCTGGGCCAGCTGCACCACCACACCACACTCCTCTTCAGACAGTAAGCCAGGGATCTCTGACAGGAACAGAGAGAGGGGGGTCCCATACGTCATTCATTACCTGTACAACATAATGCTCTGGGTAGAAGTGTAATGTATGGGCAGACACAGGATGACCAGGGTTTCCCACACTAATGTCTAGACAGGGTGTGCTCCTGTTGGCCATTATTAGTCATTATAAACTGGGTGGTTCGATCCCTGAATGCTGATTGGCTGACAGCCGTGGTATATCACGGGTATGACAAAACATTTATTTTTACTGCTCTAATTACGTTGGTAAACAGTTTACAATAGCAATAAGGCACCTCTGGGGTTTGTGATATATGGCCAATATACCACGGCTAAGGGCTGTGTCCAGGTACTCCGCGTTGTGTTGTGCTTAAGAACAGCCCTTAGCCGTGGTATATTGGCCATATGGTGGTGTCCATGTTGGCATAACAACAGACAACCAGCAGCCTTCAGGTGAGCCGAGGTCCATGATCAAGGATTTCATTATCAAAAGGGCCTGAGTGCCTTGGGAGATCAGACCAGCGTGATCAATGACTACAGACTTCTCTCATTGTTGCCCTGCTAATGATGATGACTCACACATGACTGTTCTATCTAGTAGAACCAATCATGACATGGATGGAAGACTGATTATGTTACAGGTTTACATTTATGTAACAAATAGCCTAGTATTCCTGATTGGCTGATATCAAAAAACCACAAAATCCATGATCGCTGAGGAGTAGAGCTGATCAAGACTTGGCCTTCTGATAAACAGTACTTTAAATTCATAACCAAAGCTTTTGAAGACAAACAAGTTCTTATCATTACAGAGTTACAGTAGAAAACGACTCAGGCCTTCTGCACTGCAAACAGATGGATACTGCACTGAAAAAGCAGTAATTATTTTACAACTTGTTAAGAAATAACTTGTCTAAACGACATCTGTCTCGGTTGTGTTTGCTTTAGCTTTCTCTGTGCCGGGTTTGAGCAGGTGTGTGTACATAGGGACTCTTTAGTGATTGTGGATATGGGGATAATGAGTACTCCCTGGCCCCCCGTCACCCCCCAGGGAGCTATTTGTGGTATGGCCCGACCCATTGACAGTGCTAATGAGCCAAGGCATTGAATGTCTCCCAGAGGGGGGTGACTGAGAGAGAAGCTGGGTGAGAGCCGGACTGGTGGTCGCTCATATATAGTAGTTAGTATGGAGGAGTACCAGTCTGTCTGTCTGTGTGAGGTTGGTATCATCATTCTTATTCAGACCCATTCACATGCATAGAGAGATCAGCAAGACCACCCAACCCACTCACCCTGTGTGAATATACAACCAGGATTTACACAGACTGTCAGAGGTGACCTAAAAGCAGTAGGCTGGACCAATACAGCTATATGTTAGTCTAAGGTTTCCTGATCAGATATGAGAGTGCCCAGGACCCCCTGGTAACCCCTTAGCTGCACCCCTGCCCTCCATCCATCCCATCCATTCCATCCATCCTTCCCATCACCCCCTCCATCCTTCCCATCACTCCCTCCATCCATCCCTTCCTCTCCTAATAAAAGGCTTCCGGCTGGACGCCTGCCCGTACAGTATAGGCCTTGTTCCCCACAGCAGACCCTGTACTGTCCTCTGGCTGATGAGATTGGGAGGGGGAGAGAGAAAGAGAGGGGCTGACGGCTAATCCCTATTGTCCAGTCATGCATCATTAAGCTAGATGGGTGATATGAATGAAGGGGACTGGCCTTCTCTTCCTCCTCTCCCTCCCCCGTTCTCCCTCTCTCTTTCTCTCCCCGTCTCTCTGTGGAGGAAGTGACCTGCTTGTCTGGACAGGAATCAGGTCAGAGCCTCACAGTGGGAGAACACTAACACCTCTCACTCCTACACGCATGTTCACACACACACGCTGGGGGCGCTCACACACATGCTCGGCTCACAGAGGTCTTTCAGAAACACATGCACACACACTCAATAATACGTTTTTTACATTCCCTCAGATGTCATGAGCACACAACAGACACTCACACACAGACGTAAGAAATAGGACCAAGTATTCCACTTATAAAGGTCATGAAATTAGGCATTCCTGATTCATCTGGAAAAATCCCTTGTTGGTTAGAGGGATGAGAGATGGGACGGAGAAGAGGAGGCTCGGGGTCAGACAGGGATAAAGGAGCTTGTAGGGGTATGGGGAGAAAGGGATAGGGGACATTAAAAGAGGGAGTGGAAGGGATCATTTGAAGAGGGAGTGCAGACTGGAGGGGTTCTTGGGGACAGCAGTGCAGAAAGACAGCGAGAGAAAGGGTTCCTTTGCCTTTGAAAAGAGAGGGAGGGTAAGGGAAAGGGGGATACCTAGTCAGTTGCACAACTTAATGCATTCAACCGAAGAGAGGGGAGAGTGGAGGGGTTCGTGACATGAGGGGGACTCTTTTCCTCATCTCAAGCTGTGGGGGCGGAAGGACAAGTCAGGCTAAGGCTAAGTCAGGACAACACACACACACCAAGAGAGCATAACATCCTGAACACACACACACACGCATACAGGTAACTGCCAAAATAAAGGAAACCCTTGAGTAAATGAGGGATACAAATTATATTGAAAGCAGGTGTTTCCACACAGGTGTGGTTCCTGAGTTAATTAAGCAATTAATATCTGGGCAGGCCATTATTTTGGCTACCATGGCTATGCCCCCATAGGATGACAATGCCCCCATCCACAGGGCACGAGTGGTCACTGAATGGGTTGATGAGTATGAAAACGATGTAAACCATATGACATGGCTGTCTCAGTCACCAGATCTCAACCCAATTGAACACTTATGGGTGATTCTGGAGTGGTGCCTGAGACAGCGTTTTCCACCACCATCAACAAAACACCAAATGATGGAATTTCTCATGGAAGAATGGAGTCACATCCATCCAATAGAGTTCCAGACACTTGTAGAATCTAGGCCAAGGTGCATTGAAGCTGTTCTGGCCCAACGCCCTATTAAGACACTTTATGTTGGTGTTTCCTTTATTTTGTCAGTTACCTGTACATACACACACAATCCTTGATATCCTTAACTTAGTCACTACTACAGGGCACACACTCACTCACTCTCACTCTCCCTCCGAACACATTGGTGCAAATGAAAGTGAGTGAGTGGGTTTCATATCTAATCCCATCTCAAGCACTGTCCCACTCCCTTGTAACCCACGCCCTCCCCCTATTGTTAACCCCCTGCTGGTCCACTCCCATCCCTTCCCCCACCACTCTCCTATGCAAATGCAGACCAAGCCTACAGAGAGGTGACGTGTCACCGCCTGCCCAGTATAAATACACCTATCCCCTCCCTGTCATACAGACCCATACCACAAACACACACTCAGACACGCTCTCCTGTGTGGATTTCCTCTCCTCCTCCTGGGATGATGCCTGTTCCTGCACCTCCTCCTCGCACCTCCTCTAAGAGGACCTCTCCTTGGGCTCCTGCTCTCCTCCTCCTGCTCCTCCTGCTTCCAGCTGGGCCTGGCTGGAGTGCCAGGCTGGAGGCAGGGCCTGGAGCTGAGAGTGGACCAGAGGCTGGTACAGGTACCAGGACCAGGTCTAGAGTTAGAACTGGGTTGGAGACCAGAGCTGGAGCCGGGCCAGGGACTGCGGATGGGGCCGTGGCTGAAGTCGGGTCTGAAGAGATAGCCGGTGCTACCATCCTGTCCGCCAGCAGTGAAGGGCAGTGGGAGCCCCGGAGCTCCTCCCGCTGTGTGCCCATCCCGGCGGGCATGGCCCTGTGCCAGGACATCGGCTACGCCACCATGAGGATGCCCAACCTGCTGGAGCACGAGTCGCCGGGCGAGGCCGTCCAGCAGAGTGCCAGCTGGCTGCCCCTGCTCGCCCGGGAGTGCCACCCCGACGCCCGCATCTTCCTCTGCTCACTGTTCGCACCCATCTGTCTGGACAGGTAAGGAGGGGAGAGACGCTGGGAAGTTGGAACTACTACTTTGTCTTTAGAAATTAGATAAACTGTTGGAGGAAAATACAAAGGTATTTCTTTGTAGAGATCAGAGCGTAGAGATGTGTGTACACTAAATAGACATTGTCATTGGTAAAGAGGGAGAACAACAGGGGGAGACGCGTCTCTATGAGAGAAGGTATAGTGTAGACCAGATAACTGGTAGAACTTTTAAGCTCTTGATGTAATTTTGCATACAGTGACATTTACATTATTTTGGCCTGGGCAGATCTTTATCATGATTATATTACAAGCACGTATCTACTGAGTGAGTATGATATATTTTGGAAAGCTCTTCAAAACAAAGCAGACATTGAGAGGAAACCTAGACTTGTCTGTCTTCATGTCTCTCTCTGTTCCTCTGGGCTGAATTACAGCTCCAGAGTGGGGGGCTAAGCAGTGGATTACACTGCGCTGGGAGCTATGCTAATCTTGGCTTGCCTCACAGAAAAGGCCCTGGTTTCACACAACCTTCAGGCCATGAAAGGCCCCTCATCTCCTTTGAGTTGTGCTCAGGGGCGGACTGGCCATCTGGCATTTCGGGCAACTTGGTTTTTTTGTGAAAATGTGTAATTATCTGGCTAGTAATGGGGCCCTTAACCCTTTACACTTGTGGGAATTGACCTATATGGATAGGGCTAAATTGAAATGTTTCTTACAGAAGAAATATGAAAAGCATAACCATGGTAGCAATTGAAAGGAGATTATGGGGAAACGTATTAGACCAAAGTTGAGGACACAATAGTTCACCTGACACAAGACTGATTTTATGTGCATTTTACATTTAATCTACTTTTCGCTGAATTTGTTGATAACGAAATCTGAAAATACTTTGGATACATTCAGCAACATGATAAGAATATTCCTGGAAAATGTGAGGTAAGTGCAACATAAGACAGAAAAATGACAAGGGTTTGAGTGAGAGGACTAACTGGGGTCTCTAAGTGGCCACACACCTCTCCAAAGTGTGCTCAGTTCCTAAGCAATTTCAACTATAAGGTGCTTTGAGCTCTCCTAGCTGTGCTGGTGAGGAACTACAACAAGCACACTTGTAGTCGTTTCGTTTGGAACACAACCCTGCATCCCCGCCATCACACAATTACTGTTGTTGTTTACGCAATCCAAAACCGGTCCATTATAAATCGCAATCTGGGTCATGTGGGCATAATCTGAAAGCTTGTTCTATTACCAACATGACCAGTTAAGTTATAAAATATGATCTTACAGTGTTAGGCTTTCACAAGGCAATTCAGGGAAACAGATCATTTTGGTGCGCATAGAAAAGGAGTCATGAGTGCATTCAGGTGCTTGTGCAGCGGCAAATTTTCTTGACAAATCAAATCAAATCTTATTTGTCACATACACGTGTTTAGCAGATGTTATTGCGGGTGTAGCGAAATGCTTGTGCTTCTAGCTCCGACAGTGCAGTAATATCTAACAAGTAATATCTAACAATTTCACAACATATACCTAATACACACAAATCTAAGTAATGAATTGAATTTAAGAATATATACATATATGGACAAGCAATGACAGAGCGGCATAAACTAAGATACAGTAGAATATTATAGAATAGAATACAGTATATACATGAGATGAGTAGTGCAAGATATGTAAACATTATTAAAGTGACTAGTGTTTCATTTCTTAAAGTGGCCAGTGATTTCAATAGGCAGCAGCCTCTAATGTGCAAGTGATGGCTATTTAACAGTCTGATGGCCTTGAGATAGAAGCTGTTTTTCATTCTCTCGGTCCCAGCTTTGATGCACCTGTACTGACCTCGCCTTATGGATGGTAGCAGGGTGAACAGGCAGTGGCTCGGGTGGTTGATGTCCATTATCTTTTTGGCCTTCCTGTGACATTGGGTGCTGTAGGTGTCCTGGAGGACAGGTAGTTTGCCCCCGGTAATGCGTTCGGCAGACCGCACCACCCTCTGGAGAGCCCTGCGGTTGCGGGCGGTGCAGTTGATACAGCCCGACAGGATGCTCTCAATTGTGCATCTGTAAAAGTTTGTGAGGGTTTTAGGTGCCAAGCCAAATTTCTTCAGCCTCCTGAGGTTGAAGAGACTCTGTTGCGCCTTCTTCACCACACTGTGAAGAAGGGCGGGGTTCAGATCCAGGGCCTCGAGCTTAATGATGAGCTTGGAGGGTACTATGGTGTTGAAAGCTGAGCTATAGTCAATGAACAGCATTCTTACATAGGTATTCCTCTTGTCCAGATGGGATAGGGCAGTGTGCAGTGTGATGGCGATTGCAAAATTGTAGATATTGTAGATATGCAAATTGAAGTGGGTCTAGGGTGACAGGTAAGGTAGAGGTGATATGATCCTTGACTAGTCTCTCAAAGCACTTCATGATGACAGAGGTGAGTGCTACGGAGCGATAGTCATTTAGTTCAGTTACCTTTGCTTGGGTACAGGAACAATGGTGGCCATTTTGAAGCATGTGGGAACAGCAGACTGGGAAATGGAGAGATTGAATATGTCCGTAAACACCCCAGCCAGCTGGTCTACGCATGCTCTGAGGACGCGGCTAGGGATGGCGTCTGGGCCGGCAGCCTTGCAGGGGTAAACATGCTTAAATGTCTTACTCACGTCGGCCACAGTCCTTGGTAGTGGGCCGCGTCGGTGGCACTGTGTTATCCTCAAAGCGGGCGAAAAAGGTGTTAGCTTGTCTGGAAGCAACGGTGTCGTGGCTGGTTTTCCTTTTGTAGTCCGTGATTGTCTGTAGACCCTGCCACATACGTCTCGTGTCTGAGCCGTTGAATTGCGACTCCACTTTGTCTCTATACTGATGTTTTGCCAGTTTAATTGCCTTGCGGAGTGAGTAGCTACACTGTTTGTATTCTGCCATATTCCCAGTCACCTTGCCATGGTTAAATGCGGTGGTTTGCGCTTTCAGTTTTGTGCGAATGCTGCCGTCTATCCACGGTTTCTGGTTAGGGTAAGTTTTAATAGTCACAATGGGCACAACATCCCCTATACACTTCCTGATAAACTCAGTCACCGTTTCAGTGTATTCGTCTAAATTATTTTCGCAAGCTACCCGGAACATATCCCAGTCCGCGTGATCAAAACAATTAGACTAACATAGGTTCATTCGGTTCAGAACAACCCAGGGTATGACGACTTGTCATCTTGTAACTGTACCTCAAACATAGTGATCATAAACGTTGACACTGTATATGACTTGAGTTTTATGATATGGAAATGTTGAGTGCACATTTGGACTCATGGGTGTTTGGCTTGCTTTTATAACATCAAAGCGATATCTATTATAATCCTCAACATCTCATCTTTCAAAACACATATAGTCCTCTTAATTTACAGCATTTCCCTCATTCAGATTTTTTTTTTTGCTGAAGTTGCCCAATTAGCAGGAGGGATTGTGGCAACTTCTTGTCACGCGAGGTGCTCAAGTTCAGAATGGCGCTCAGTCAAAACCAATACATCACTGTGAAGCCCAGAGCCAGAGCTCTGATGTCATGTATAGCATTACTGTACAGCCACTGCATTCCAATTTAGACGTTTATCAGTGCCCACATCTGCCATTTTCAACCCGTATACGGGTACGAGTGTAAAGGGCTAAGGGAAAAAATGGGCTGGTGTGTTAGAAATCCCAGGGCCGATTTCTGGTCCCAGTCTGCCCCGGGTTGTGCCGTTTTTTAAAGAGAGAAAACATTGGGTTAAAAAAGGAGAAACAAATGTTTCTAAATGTTATCTGATAGGGTGTAGCATTATCTTTCTTCCTCCACAACTTCTCCTTTATTGATTTGGATCTCTTCATCCATTCACTAGCAACTTCCTCTTTTTCTCCTCCTGACTACCCCTCTCTGTTCTTGCATCTATTTTCTCATTCCCTCTCTCCTGGGCAGGTTCGTCTCTCCATGTCGGAGTCTGTGTGAGTCAGTGCGGGACAGCTGCGCGCCCATCATGGGTTGCTATGGTTACCCCTGGCCAGACATCCTTCGCTGTGACCAGTTTCCTGCCGACCACCTCATGTGTATCTCCTCTGTCACCAACACCAGCACCAGCACAGGGGGGCGCAGAGGTGAGAGACACACACACTATTACATAAGATGCTCCGTTTTCTACTGTCCTCGTCAGACTAAGAACTCTGATTGGACATGTCTGTGATGACTGTTTCAGCAGTGCCCCAGGCCAGCTGTCGAGACTGTGAGCTGGAGGAGGCCTCGTCTGCCAAGGACGTGCTGGAAACATTCTGTAGGAGTGACTTTGGTAAGCAGACCTACACTCTCCTCCCCTATTATATTCCTATTGTACAGACGTTGGTTCAGATTATGTATTCCAATGTTTCTCTGTCCTCCCTATTGACAATACCCAGATCAAATATTGAGATGTACCCTACCTACCCACCCTAACGCAATTATCTCTGTCTCTCTGCTGCCCTCTGTGTCCCCAGTGGTGAAACTGCGTCTCACGCGGCTAAAATCCAGTCAGGTGAGTCTGGCCCAGTTCTCCCTGGCCTCTCGTCTGCAGGTCCTGAAGCACGGGCCTCTCCTGGGAGGACAGATCCGCTCCCGCCTGCAGCTGTGGCTGGAGAGAGACGCCAGCTGCGTACGGAACATGACGCGGCGCCAGCCCAGAGGAGGGACCTTCCTGGTGACGGGCACGGTGCAGGGGGAATGGCTGGTGGTCAACAAGGCCTTCGCCTGGAACAAACGCGCCAGGAACCTGATGGCTGCAGCCCGCAAGTGGAAACAGCACCGATGTAGAGGCTAGCAGGGGCTAGGGCTAGAAGAAGTGGAGCTGAACTTGAGGTCTGAAATGGGCCTGAGCAGAGCTATAGGCCTAGGTGTACAGAGTCAGGGATGTGATTAGAACACCATACAACATCAGTAGAGCGAGAGGAGGTTGTTTGGGGGCGGGTACATTTCTATGATAGACTTCCTGGATTTTAATCACATCCTTGGATAGCTGGATGTTTCAGAGAGCACCATCCTGAGCTCAGGAGAGGACGCTGCAAAGGAGAAGACCTTCTGTGTTTCCTGCAAATGTACATATCTATAAATTATAAGTAAATATCACTGATCTATATTTGTAAGAGGTTGACTGAAATTAAATTAGTGTTTTCAAAGTGTTGAGCTTGCATTCATTCATGATGTTATTGATGCGGTTTGGGTTGTCAGTTTTCATTGGTCGTGTAAGATGGGTGATGTCCCGTGTAGCTCAGTTGGTAGAGCATGGCGCTTGCAACGCCAGGGTGGTGGGTTCGATTCCCACCGGGTGCCAGTATGAAAATGTACGCACTCACTAACTGTAAGTCGCTCTGGATAAGAGCGTCTGCAAATGACTAAAATGTAAATGTAATGTCTAGCAGTGTCATCAATCATATTATTCTTAAAGCATTTGAATAACAGAGATATATCCTAAACACAATGTGTGAGGAAAAAAACCTGCCCTAAAGGGTAAAAGGTGCCATTCTTACCAAAAAGCAGAGGCTTGAGGCTGAGAGTCTTCATCTCGTGGATTCTGTCAGGCTTGAGTGACACCCTCTGGACATGACCCACCTGAGGAAACATAGTCTACATTAATATTGTAAAGCCTTGGGCATGATCAAAACGAAGTGTTTGTTAGGGTGGTGGTCTTCGCAGACAGAAAGACGCTCTTCGCAAACCCTTTCGCAGTATACCATATGCGCCTCGTCGTTGAGTTCGGTCCTATAACACTCCGACACAGTAGAGGCCACTATGTGAGATGGAACGTGCCGCTTCTACCAAGCACCACAATTTTCTTCAGAAAATATAGGCAGCTTTTCTGTTGACGACGGTAGCACGACCGCCATCTACAGACTAACTTTGCCAATACTTGGTCATTCATTGATGGTTTGCCATAACAATAAACTTTAATGCGAAGTTGGTTTGATAACTTTTGAAAACAAGAGATTTGCTTCAAGCAACTAAGTTTGTAGGCTAATTTATTGAACATTATGAGGACTAAGGCTACTAGCTATGTGCTAACTGGCTAACAAAGCTAGCTACTGTAGCTAGGGGGATGTAGCTAGCTTGCTAATAAACTGATTTGAGTGTCCAGCTGGATAGTAGAAGCAAAGGTAGCTAGCTAGCTAAATAAACCAATGAATGTGGAATTCTGTGCAAGCTATGCCGTGTGGCTAACAACCACAGCTAACTAGCTAGCTTGACGGTTAACAGCTAGCTGCCGTTGAGCCTTTTCGCTCCTTCGAACGACGTTGCACTTTTTGACGTCCCACCACTAGTACTCAATACTAATTATCAGAACTACTGGAACGTCAAAACAAAAAAAGTGCAATTTTGTTCGAATGAGTGAAAAGGCAGATAGATGTATGTTTACTTTCCACCGTCGACCCCTCCCTCCAATGGATGCATTGAGCTAGGTTGGACGAATTATTGTAGCAAAGATGATCTAACTATATATTGGCTTCGACTCTTCCTCTCTGGTTCTAGCCAGTTCGCAAAGTTAGAAAATTGCGGGCGCGCGGACCACTGCGATCGAACTTGGCTGGCATATTATTTTTATCTTCCGGTGGCACTACAACTGGATGCACACCGCTCGTTTTGTTTTATGACATGATAGTAATAGTATTAGGGCGCCTCATTATCTCCTCACCCGTATCCCCTCGATGCGTGGTAGACTGAAGCTCTGACGGACATCCAAGTCAGGGTCTTGCTGAGGTGGGTCTGGCGGGGACAGGCGGCTGTCAACCCCGCTGGTAGATGCCGATGTGTCCCGGTCCGCGCTGACAATATCCGCCGGACTGTTATTGTAGTGTACGTAGAACAACAGGCCAATGATGTTTATAATGTAAACATGGAAGAAGACCATGACCACCACGAAGTAAGCCCGGGAGCAGACACTGCTCTTCTGAATCTGAAGCCGCTCTCGGCGGGGCATTGGGGGGAGATGCGGGGGCACATACGGTGTTGAGTCGCCACACGCATCCATGCTTTCCTGAGATTCATCATCCATTTCTGAATGGATATGTCGATTGCTATAATCCATGACTAGCTAAATGTCTGGCTGGATATTCGTGGAGATTTACATATGCTGGCTTCTTTACAAGATAGCTAACTGGCTGTTCTGCCACTATGTGCTAGCGTTAGCTAATGGTAACGATAGCTGACAACAGCATCATACATGCAGAGATGGCTAATTAAGTAGCTAGCTACTGACATTAATTTCACCCATCTAGCTTAGCTAGCATGCAAGTACAAGTAGGTTAGCTAAGCGAGTGAGCCTGCCTTCTTCAGACACGACACAGGTTATTCGAGGTTGTTTTCCTTTAGATACAATAAAAGGCAACAACACTATCTATGACCGTGTAAAATATCCGAAAGGACTGAACTTGCAATGGGATAATCCATCTTTCATGTAGACGGCTAACGTTAGCTAGCTTATTGTAGTATGTGCCCCTGACAACCTACCAGACAACATCAACTACATAAACGAGAGCAGGGAGAAGAGTAGACCACTAGCTCTGATTTCGGAACCTATCAGAACACTATCGCCCTCTGGCGAACGTTCCAAATTCCGACGCAGCGAGCATCTGCTACCACACAATGGCACTCTAATCAAGGGAATGGCGTGACTACTGCAACGTGGGACTGTAGGCTACTCTGTTCACTTATTTTTGTTTGGAGTAATTCTGCAAATACAGTTTTATCTACGGCTGTTATCTGAACATAATCCCTCCACACAGTCTCCATCCGCTTATCTTCTCACGAGCTGCCTAATAGCTCTCTCTCTCTCTCAATTCAATTCACTTAAATTCTAAGGATTTTATTGGCATGGGAAACATGTTTACATCTCTCTCTCTCTCTCTCTCTCTCTCTCTCTCTCTCTCTCTCTCTCTCTCTCTCTCTGTGTCATTAGTCACTCTCTGTTGAGATGCAATGCCATCTATTAATGGTGTATAAGAGAGTATAGGTCACATATGATTCTGACATTTGATTTTAAAGGAAACACAACATTTCCATTCATGAAGAGGTGTAAATAGCAGGTGCATATTGATACCACGCATTCGACCTTTGGACCACTATGTTACGGGGTCCAAAGTTGAACTCACCGATCTTAGGGTGTTTTCACATATAGTCCTATTTAAAAGAACCGATCTCAGTCCTCTTTAAAGTGAACAGGGGTAAAGAAAATTACAAAAAATAACTAATTTCTCGTTGTATTCACACTGCCATTGCCTTTGAATGAGGACTCAACTCTTTTGCCACTTCACTTCACCTATTTTGTGGGCAGAGTCCTCTTTTTATTCACATTGCTATGTTTAGAAAGGAACCAAGAGCTTTTTCCAACATGCACTCTGGGTTTTTACAAAGTGCAGGACAAGCCATTCAATCAGAATGTGTTATCGAGCAGCTTGATATACCTACTTACATGTTGGAAGCTAATAGATTGCATTTAATTAAACTATGAGACATAATAATTGTAATCAGAATATACACTACATGACCAAAAGTATGTGGACACCTGCTCGTCGAACATCTCATTCCAAAATCATGGGCATTAATATGGAGTTGGTCCCCCCCCCTTTACTGCTATAACAGCCTCCACTCTTCTGGGAAGGCTTTCCACTAGATGTTGGAACATTGCTGCGGGGACATGCTTCCATTCAGCCACAAGAGCATTAGTGAGGTCAGGCACTGATGTTGGATGATTAGGCCTGGCTCACAGTCTGCTTTCCAATTCATCACAAAGGTGTTCGATGGGGTTGAGGTCAGGGCTCTGTGCAGGCCAGTCAAGTTCTTCCACACCGATCTTGACAAACCATTTCTGTATGGACCTTGCCTTGTGCACGGGGGCATTGTCATGCTGAAACAGGAAAGGGCCTTCCCCAAACTGTTGCCATAAATTTGGAAGCACAGAATCGTCTAGAATGTCATTGTATGCTGTAGCGTTACAATTTATAATAATAATAATACTAATAATAATAATATGCCATTTAGCAGACGCTTTTATCCAAAGCGACTTACAGTCATGCGTGCATACATTTTTGTGTATGGGTGGTCCCAGGGATCAAACCCACTACCTTGGCGTTACAAGCGCTGTGCTCTACCAGCTGAGCTACAGAGGATTTCCCTTCACTGGAATTAAGAGGCCTAGCACAAGCCATAAAAAACAGCTCCAGACCATTATTCCTCCTCCACCAAACTTTACGGTTGGCATTATGCATTGGGGCAGGTAGTGTTCTCCTGGTATCCGCAAACCCAGATTCGTCTGACGGACTGTCAGATGGTGAAGCGAAATTAATCACTCCAGAGAACACGTTTCCACTGCTCCAGAGTCCAATGGCGGCGAGCTTTACACCACTCCAGCCGACGCTTGGCATTGCGCATGGTGACCTTAGGCTTGTGTGCGGCTGCTCGGTTATGGAAACCCATTTCATTAAGCTCCCGACGAACAATTATTGTGCTGACGTTGCTTCCAGAGGCAGTTTGGAACTCGGTAGTGAGTGTTGCAACCGAGGACAGACGATTTTTACGCGCTTCAGCACTCACCGGTCCCGTTCTGTGAGCTTGTGTGGCCTACCACTTCGTGGCTGAGCCGTTGTTGCTCCTAGACGTTTCTACTTCACAATAACAGTACTAACAGTTGACCGGGGCAGCTCTAGCAGGGCAGAGATTCGACGAACTGACTTCTTGGAAAGGTGGCATCTTATTACGGTGCTATGTTGAAAATCACTGAGCTCTTCAGTAAGGCCATTCTACTGCCAATGTTTGTCTATGGAGATTCCATGGCTGTGTGCTCGATTTTATACACCTGTCAGCAACGGTTGCAGCTGAAATAGCTGAATCCCCTAATTTGAAGGGTTGTCCACATACTTTTGTATATATAGTGTACTATTAACATGTACATTTTATTGCTAACAGAATAAATAGCAGAATAATAACTTCAAAATAAATAATGCTGTATTTAAAAATTGTACACCCAAGGTAGACCACTGCCCCTTTGAGAGCTAGAATAGATTTGGTAGCCTATATTGTGATTCTCACCAAATAGGTTGTCTTCTTTGTCTTCTCACACTATTCAAACCCCACAATCAATAAACAGCTTATGAAGCTCTCTTAGCCTATAGATCAAATATTGCAAACAAATAATCTTAACTAAAAAAAATTCTGTGCATCCTTAAAAATCATTTTTTCCCCCCCGTGAACCTGCACATCATCATCTTCTCTGGAGGTTTTTCGGCACCAATGTGAGGGTTTATAGCAAGGGAAACGGTGTTGCAGTAGTCTAGTGTGTGGTGCGGGAATAATGAAATGCGAACCTGGGGAGCTTTGCGTTCACATTGCCCTAAAAAAGCCGGAACGCGGAATTCAAGCTAACTGAACTCAGACCACCTCTTGAGATGGTCTCAGTTCGGTTCGCTTCGGGAACCTCTTTTGAAGGGTTTGAGTTCCTTTGGAGTGTTCACACTGCACAAAAAAATTGGCGAACTGCACTGAGTTCACAAAAATTGTCTGAAAGGGACCAAGTGTAAAAACACCCTTAGTCTGAACAGTCCTCAAACTGTGTTCCATTTTACTCGCGCTGTGCGTAATTTTGAGCCCAATGCCAACTAACCGTCCAGAACGACACCTCCGCTCCAATCAAAATCAAAGTGGCTATAGCCCACACATATACTGTATTACTCGCTTTACTCAGACGCCCATTCTCTATACATCCCGCATAATTATTCAGGACAAGTGGTGGCCTAGATCTCGACTTCCAATCTATCCTCTTTCTCTTCATTTTCTATAGGCAGCTACTATGCTTATTAGGCATATGCTAGCTATTATTATAGGCCTATACAAAATGCAGAAATAAGGACCACATGCCTGTGGCACTTAAGGTATTCCCCGTTTGTCTGGTTAATTATGAATAAGCAAGTGGTTTGAATATACATTTATTGATTACATTTCCATAAATTGCAGATAATCAATTATGCCAAAGAAAAATAATTCCAGGAAGATATAAGGGATGCACATTTGGATTAAAGTTGTCTAAAATAATAAGGTAATTGCCCTTGTGTCTTGCTCTCGGAACTTTATTCTCTCTTTTCACACATTGACCCCGGCCCTCTACAATCACCCCCCCCCCCCCCCCCCCCCCCCAGCCCCCATACACACACACCCTTTGCGGTGTTTTCCGGGATCACGCCACCACTTCTACTTGGGATCCTGGCGATATGGCTGATAATGGAATGGGACCGTGTTATTGTCAGCGCCAGACAGACAAACCATAGTGTAGCAATCTTAAAGTCACCCCATTGGTCGAATAGAGCCGTAGAACATATTCTTACATAGTCTAAAGAATAATTTGTGATTAAATAGGCCTATAGGTATTTAATAGGCACCTACTTCACTTGCCACCACGTAGGCTAGCGCGGTAGCTGCACAAACTTGTCGCAGTGGATAGCATACAATCGTTTGGATTGCCCTATCTACAGGAGTGATACAAAGTCTCGCGCATTCGGATCTTTTCAGGTTCGTATTGTTACAATGTTGCTTTTCCATGTCTGACCTTATCATTTTGTGGCTGAGTTTTGTTGAATGTTGTCACCCGTTAGTTGAAGTTCAGCTCGGACGGTTTAGTGCGAATTGTGGGCTATGCTCCTATTGTGATTGCAGTTTTACAGTGACATTTAGCTGTAGGATTATCTCAATTTATCTGAATTACCTGCTTATTCGCGTGAGGTGTTGCTACTGTATCTGATTGGGATTTGACATACGCTACTAGCAAAGTTAAAGTAGCCTAACCAGCAGCCTCAGCCAGACTACCATCACTAGCCATAACCTAGTCAACAAAGCAGGTCATGCTATGCGGGCTATCCACCTATCTACACCAACAATGTTTTTAAAGGCTACACATGTAGGCTAAAACCAAAAACATCACAGGAAAGATCAACCAATGGTCAAAATGAAATTGTATTTTGTGCATACCTTCCACATATCTCGACTACTGTTCTCTGTAACTTTTGTATGCCCTGCCAGACTCTACCCTCCCGGATGCTCTGTTCCAGGAAAACACGAGGAGGACCAGAGTGAAAGGGAAAGGCCGGGGTTCCGAGAATCGCTCGTTAACTCAATGTTTCGATCATTGCATTATCCCTGAAAGCCCTTCATTAGCCGGAGAAACTGGCTGTAGCCTTCACTAGCCTACTATAGCTAATTGTGCTGAAATCTAGTCTTGGCTGGATCTCTGTCATAGAGATGCCTGAAGTCTGCATGGGGAGTCCACGAATGGGACAGTGTTGTTTGTTGCTCCATGCATGCATATCAGAAAACATATAAGACAAAAACATCATTAGGCTAATGCTATTTTATTAATAATATACAATAATCCAGATATTAATGTCTATATCATGTCTTCATGATCCGGTAAACCGTCCGTGGTGGGAGTATCATTCACCGATTAATTATTGATGGGGCTGTCAATGGA